GGGGGGGGGGGGGGGGGGCGTACGCAGAATTTATTCAAAAAGGGGTCATGGGTGGGATGCTATTATACATGGATTATATTTTAAAGTATTAATTTATGCTAGTTGAAATAAATCCAGTTGTAATCAGTGAAATAAAAGATGATTTTAAGCACTATTTGATTATACGATTTTACTACAAATGCCCATAATTGTTCCATATAATTATGTACCATCATTTTTTGTGCGTTTCCCATAAAAAGTTTTTTTTACCATTTCCATAATAAAGTCTGCCATGATGGTCTAGGACATATGTTTTGTGTTTATAGACCAAATCCATAAGTCAAAATCAATATCAAAATAATCATTTTGGTGAAGAAACATTATAAAAAATTGTAATTATGCCTGTCTGATACCCTTTCAAGATCAGCATTGCAGAGTATTCTCCCTTGATAGTTAAACTCCATGCAATTGTGCCTAGATAACACAGACTAGGCTAATATTTGTAAACAAACTATTAAGGGGTCAAATAATTCTATTTTTAGACTACGGCGGCTGGTTTGGTAACGTGGTACATATATGTACCGGTGGGCATTTAAGGGTTAAACTTACTTAAAGACGATAGAATTGTTATTAAAAAGAGTGACAAAGGTTCATGTTGTGTCATTCTGAATAGGGAGGATTATGTTTCAGAAGCAGAGAATCAACTGAATAATCCTAAACATTATGCCATTTTACCGAAACCAATTTTCAAAGAAACTGCTAACACGATTAGCAATATTCTTGCCGATTTAGTCAAAACTAGTTATCTTAAACAGAAACAATATGTCTGCCAAACCTGATTGTCACTTTGCCTAAAATCTATAAATTCCAACCAAGGAGTGGTTTATCTCGAATAAAATCCCTAAAGGCCGTCCGATTATATCTGACCGTGGTAGTGAGTCCTATGCAGTGTCAGAATACATTGATCATTTCGTGCTACCTCTAGCATGTTAACATCGCGCCTACCTTAAAGACACAACCGATTTTGTCAATAAAGTAAAAAAATTTCGAGTTCCCTCTAATGCTATTTTAATTTCTATTGACGTTTCTTCTATGCATACTAATATCGATAACACTACTGGTTTAACGGCAGTTCGTAAAGCTTTTAATGGAAACCCAGATCCAAACAGACCCAACGATGCAATTCTACAGCTTTTAGAGATTTGTCTTAGTCGAAACGATTTCACATTTAATGGTAAAACATATTTACAAACTTCAGGGACAGCTTTGGGCAAACGATTCACCCCTTCGTACGCAAACCTTTTCATAGCAGAGTGGGAACGTGAGGTGTTGCCTCTGTCCATTTGACCCACTTACGGACGCTTTTTGGGACATTTGTATGGTTTGGACTTATTCTATCGAACAGTTTTGGGAATTCTTTGAAACAATACCACCATCCTTCTATCAAACTAACCACAAACGTGAGTGACAAAAGCATAGACTTTCTCGATACCACAGTCTTTTAGGGAGATGCCATAGCAGAAACAAATAAACTGGATATTAAAGTGTATTTCAAAGAAACTGATACTCATCAACTCTTGCACAAGAGCTCCTTTCACCCAAAGCATACCTTTTCTGGTATAATTAAGTCACAAGTTTTACGATTTCATCTAATTTGCACAAGATCTTCTGATTTCAACCAAGTCTGTACGATTGTTTTCTCAAAACTGAAAGAGCGTGAGTGCTCTAAACGATATTTACGAAACATAAAAAATTCCACATTAGTGTTATAGGGTGGCCTGGGGTAGTTTAAATAACCAGATAAGGTTTCTTTTATGGTTTTATTATAGATGAAAACAGAAAGCAAAATCCCTGCAATACACAAATATAACAATTATATACAATTATAAAATATAGCAAATACAAATACAAATACAAATAAAATACAAATCTTTACAATAAACGAAATTGCCAACTGTAAAACCTAATGCATTAATATTTGAAATAAATAATTATGCAATGTGATATACATTTATAATACATAGGTTGTAAATAAATCCAAAGTGGGGTTTAAAGATGAATATAAGTATAACACCTTATTACTACCACACAACTTATTCCTGAAAACTTACTATAATTACTAATAATATTCTTTAATTTTATACTTAAACTTATACTTATAAAACACTTTAACATACCTCTAAACTATATCCAATAGAATCCAGATTACCATATGAAATTCAAACACATCAATTTGGTGACAGTACAAACTGACTTGACTATACAAAAGCTAGGTAACTAATGACTCTGTATCCAGGTATCCCAATACCCCAAAAGAATGTAACAACAAGGTGATGAAAGATCACTGAACAGAGTTTGTAGAATTAAACTCAAGAAGAAATAAGAAGAGTAAGAGAGAAAATAGAAAGTGAGAACAAATTAGGAGATTAGTAATAAGTGTTTGCTGTAAAGATAAATCATTCATTAACATTAAAGTCACATTCTCTCATACTATAACATTAGCACGAATAGCAGCTAAAAACAGGCTTCATGCCGAAGTACCTCCAGGTTTAAGAAGTGCTCCATGTTTGTCCAGTAGATGCAAAACATGTCCCTTTATATCAGAAACTCATTATTTTGTAAGCAACTCTACGAATAAAAGGTACCCGATCCAGGAACATCTAACATGTGAACATTCGAATGTAATATATTTCATTTCAATATGTAGGAGAAACTAAGATTAATTTACGTACTTGTTCTAATGCTCATAGGTCGGATCAAATTAAAGAAAGACAAGCCTGTTTCTAATCATTTCAACCTCGACGACCATTCAATAGACGATCTCACCCTAATACCAATTGAGCGCATAGAAATTGACTTGCCCGAAGATGAAACTACCAAATTCCGTCAATCAAGGGAAGCCCATTGGATTGAGACATTGAATACAGCAAGACTTATAGGACTAAATATTCACCATAATGTAGGCATAGCACCCTTTTTTGTCCCGTTCAATACAACCAGCAATCAAGCAAGCAAGATAATTCATGCCCACTATAAGAGCCTTCAAGAGAAATTCCCCCATGTCTATAAGCAGAAAATGATAGTTGCATATTCAAAAAATAAGAACTTAAATGATAATATTGTTCATAGTAAACTAAAAACAATCAGTACATAACAGATACTATACTTCTCGCCCATTGGGCGAGTTATTTTTTCTAATTTCAGATCAGAATAAGAACAGAAGAAAACCCAATATCAAGACCCTTAATCCTGATTTCTAAATAAAGTGTCTGCTCCACCCTAGGCCTGTACATTTGGGAGAATCAAACCCTCCCTTCCCCGAAAACTAATATGGCTATACGACCGGTTAAAATTCTCCCCAAGCTCCAATAACAAATCTCCGTTTGTCGGTTAAGGCTTACCATAGACAGAAAACAGTATGAAATATGAGAATAAAATATTGTTTACAACAAAACCCGTTTTGAAGCTGATATTCAAATGAAAAAGAAATCGGCAAAATGTGGATTACCGATAATGTGAAGAAAGTAGTCTTGAATATTAATTTTTCAATACGTCATTTTTACAAGATACAGCCAAGCCAAAAAATTTCCGATTTTCCATCCTTGACCCCCAGTAATTCAGGCATTTAACCAATATTGTTTGGGATTTGGCCGATAAAAATTTGCTGAATCATCCACATCGTGACTATAACCAATAATTCTGCTCCGAAGATTATAGCTACAGTTTTTATTGGTTGAGAAGCGTCAGTTATTGGCCCAATAGTGAAATTAGGCCTGTGTGTTTGGGCTATGTGTCTATTTATAGGTCTACTAATGCGTACAAACATGTTATCATGGACGTAAAGGTTGTAGTAGAAGAGGTTATTTCATTACTGTTATTAATATTGCAACATTGTTAACAGTTATTTTATATTATTTCATTCATTTATTCAAAACAATACTGATACAATATTGCAACGATATTATCAAATATGTAAATAGTTTGGCTGTGTTAAAACTTGTTGGACCAACTATTCACATAAAGTTTATTCCAACGCATAGATTTTTCATGAAAACCAATGATTTATTTATTTTGCATTAATCATTAATGAGGGTAAGATAGGCCTGCTTGGAACAGAAAAAGAAATTCCAGACCCATGGCAAAATCCAATCCAGTTCGAAAATACCTTTGAACTGCAGGTCACAAGATTTGTTACTATAATTTCAGATGGATCTCAATACTTTTGACGAGTTCTGTGGAGGAGATCCTTTATGGGTAAGTTGAATCTTTGACAAATTAGGCCTAAGCAATGCTTATTTAGGTCTCTTAACACTTCCATGTCATGGAGTCCATGACATATCATAATGGAGGGGTGTTTTTCCCCCATTTTCTTAAAAGAATCATATATGCTCATTATATTTGTATGAATTGAACTATCAGTCAACTATTCAACTATCAGCCACAAAATACTAGTGTTAGTCCTTGGGTTGATGAAAGAAAGGAATATTATTTGCAAATATAATTTTACAAAAGATAATTTCAGTAGGAAATATGGGTAGCCTAATTGAATAATTGTTACATAAATTTCTAAGAGGGAACTGTTTTTATTTCAAATGTAAAATTATAGAACTTTAATTTCTATGGACCTGTAGGCATACAATCTGACTGCTATGAGCTCATTATTGATTTTGTTGTTAATATCATTTGACAATTGTCTGATTAAAATGACAAATAACACATTGTTGTCAGAATGTCTTCAGATATCTATATATTTGTCTGTAATATCAGCCTCTGATAGCTATTGTAAAATAGTAGGCTAGAGTAGGGAAAAAGTGGCATTGACTTTTTTTGTTAGAGTTTATAAATTCCTTAAATGATTGATTCCACTTGGTACTTGTGTCAAGTCAAAAAGTCAAAGTCAAAAGACTTTCCATCTAAAATATCACTCAATAACATTTTTGCTTGAATTGGTGGAAGATGTTCTATGAATTTAATAACAAATGCCATTTGCAGAGCTTGTGATATTCTGAAAATATGACGAGTAGCTGTGTCAATATGTTCTGCTGTGATGAGTCTTCCCCATTCTGTATTAGTATCATCTCGCATAATCATTACTAGTTCTATTAAACCACAGTTTTTATATGCACTAAATAATGTATTCACTTTTGACTTGCGAAGATGGAGAAGAGGGAATTCAGTTAGAAATTTGGCATATTTCAAATTTTCCTTTATCAAGGACAACAAATTTATACCAATTTTGTTGTCAGGACCAAAAAGGATTCTGTCAAATTTATTGGAGTCAGAACACAGTCTTGAATCTAATCCTGTCTTAATAAGGATGTCATCAAGGATTTCACGAAGTACATTTATGTCGTCATCTCGACCACTAGCTGGCTGTGGATGTCTGGTGGTGGAGTAAACTTGTGCAGTCCAAATTGTGACAGTTCTACATGTTGTTCAACTTCATCATTTGAAATATTCATTTGTTCCATGGATTTTTTAAAGAAGAGATTCATCAAAGCTGGCAGCAAGTTCCACATCTGAATTATATAATGATCTGTTTGCTTCTTCATCCAACACATCTTTAAGATTAAAATGCACTTCCTCTTGATCACACACTTGCTCACCTGATCTAACATTCTCCTGTAAGAGAAATTAATGTTAAGTCATTAACTTAAAAAAAAACCTATACCAGTACAGAACCTCAATTTATGCTATAATCAAACTAATCTGACACCTATTATTGTTAGAAAGCTTTGATAAAAATATAAGGATGACAACTTTTACCTGTTCAGAAATATCAAAGACAGCGATCTGCTCTACAGCTGATGTAGCTTTTTTATTCTCGTTATTTTCAATGTCAGTATCAATGACTTGTTGGAGGTAGTTTCTAAGCCATGTAATTTTTACACTTGTTCTTGAGATGTCTGAAAGTAAATTTTCGAAAATTTTACTTATCATTTTTCATCGGACACGACAAATTATGCATTTGGTTATGATTAACACATTTATTTCACTATTGCAAAAATTATCTAAATCCTCATGTATATGGACAGATATTTTAAGAGAATATTAGCATGCAAAAAATATTGAAAGAAACATATCTTACCATTAATGGTTGAAAAAAGATGTCTATTTCCCCATCTGGATACCTTTTCAAATTTTTCCAAACTCTGTTGTTCTTGTGGAAGCAGATTTAGAATCGAGTTAAATGCTGACTCTTGAAAATTCTCTTTCCTTCTTACAATCACAAGTTTGTGAACCATCACAAAAAGCTGTATCATGCCACAGTTCAACAATATTTGAGTCTTTGGGCATACCTTGTAGTGTAATTGGTAACATACACATTTGTTTTGAGCGATGTTCACCTGGTTCTGGGTCATTGTGATATTTTAACAGTACAAGATTATCCAGCATTAAAATCATGTAACAGTCTCGTAAACTTACAGGTTTGGTTAATTCTCCACAAATTGAGCTATATGTCATAGAATATTCTTTGATGAATGTTTGATAATATAATTGATCATTCATAGTTTTCAAAACGACACCATTCTCTGCAAAATTTAATGAAGTAGTTAGTCCATATTTGCTAGTTGTCTTAAAAAGATTGCTGATACTGTGGTAATTCATAAGGAGGTCATCTGTGATCTTTTGAAGGAATATACCAATGAAATTCTTATTTAGATTCTTCAACAACATGTCATATATGAGATACAGACGTTCATACTTTTGTTCAAGAAATTTATTGTGATCTGGTTTATTGGTCAAGAATTCTTTGTTAATGAATGCCGATAAAAAAGTTGCATCTCCAATGCTACATCAAAGTGCCGTTCTTCGATGATATTAAAGTTGGAAACTGACAGGGGATCTGGTAAAATATTTTCAAAACAAGTTAGACATGTTTCCCTTTCAGCATCTGTAGTCATCTCACCATGCATTATCTTGACATAAATTATATTATCATTTAGTTTTTTTAGTTTGATGTCATCGTAAAGTTGATATCTTGAAATCTGTCCATCTTTTTGAAATGACTTAATGAGTTGCTTTCCATGAGGAATATCTGGTGCAATCCGACATTGTGTTGATAATTCAAAATATTTATTAAGACCTTTTCGATATATTTAATATCAACTCTTCGCAACAGCTTATCATTACATCCAATGAGTTATTATCAATTCCAGGACATGTGCACTTAACACAAATAACATTGTCTATTGCCACAGTCAAATACTCTTGAAGATTTTCAGGTATCTGGGTTTCCAAATATGGCGCCCGATGCTGTGTAGTGGTAAACAGTGTGTTTTCTTCTTTTATTGCATGAGCAATCATTCGACTTTTTCGTCTTCTTATAACATTTTTAGCATTCTTGAAAATAAGGGAATTGAGGTCAGATGATGATTTTAAACTATTGAAATAGTCCCAGCGTTTCCAAGATGTATTGAAGACCACATCATTTTGCACAAATTTCTGGAAATGGTATTCAAACATACAAATCCTATTCCATTCTTTGCACTGAAAGGGTATCTTCGAAGTCGTAGTCAAAATTCTGAGCATCAGGTAGAAAATGAGAAACATTTTTGTATAAGTCCAATAAAGTACCACTGTCCTGCTTGTCTGCTTTTTGAATCAGATTTATCTTTAACCTTAAAGAAGTCATTAGTTATCTGGTTTGCAATTTTAAAACAATTTTCATAGTCTTCTGAATGTTTGAAAATATACTTCAGAGCTGAGAAACACAATCTACACCATTTAATGTTTTGAATTGTTCATTCTGAAAACCTTGAATCTCACACTGTATATTGAATTTGCGAACTGTACTTTTGTCATTTTCTGTTTGATTCCTTTTCATAAAAAATAAAAAATCCTCAAATTTTATCCATTGAGTCAAGGCAACCAAAAGAAAACTGGCTATTTAATGTTAAAAAAATCACATTTTTGCTTGAAGCAAACATAAATTTCAACGTCAGTTTTATGACCATTAAGCTAACAACTTGACTTTTTTGCGTTTTCTAGCTGGTGCTGCATTTTCTGTATTTGGGTCCATGTAGGGATAATTCACGGTGTAATGGCACATTCTCTTTTCACACACACTGCAACCATATCTGGTTTCAACTCTGTTTGAATGGAAAAAACACCTACCCTGATTCTCATACTTAATTGGAGCATGTTCTAATGTTCTATCAAACCTTATTTCAGGTGGTAAGACAGCAGATGGACGCTCTCTTTTCTTAGTAAATGTTCTGCCACCTATCAACCCATCAGCCAATTGTAAGAAAAAGTCATATTGTGACAATTTTGAATCTGTGTGAAGTTTTTTTTATGTACAATAAAGGCTTGAACAGCAGAGAGTCTTAACAAATAAAAAAAAACTTGCATATACCAAGTCAAAGATTTCATAAGACGTCTATATGAAGCAACACGTTGATCAGATAAATCAACACCCCCCATAAAAGAATTATAAGTAACAATAGCCCTTGGTTTACTAATCGTAACTTCTTCACCACCCTGTTTCTTATCTCTTCTCTTTATAACAACATCATCAACATTACCTACAAAATATAATGAGACATTAAGTGATACACAAAAGTTTATTCCATTTGATGAAAATAATTTGAACCCCAAGCTTATATTTTAGTATCATTTGGCAATATTATTATATAATTGTAATATTTATACTTTTGATAATGGTGATAATTTTTTAATAATTTTGTTATAATAAAGTTTACATTAATTTTTCTATAATAAATTTTTACACTAATTTTTCTATAATAAATTTTTACACTAATTTTTCTATAATAAAATTTTTGCTAAATGTATTTTAGTAGTCTTTTTACTTTTGCATTTGCTAATTTTTCATAAACAAACTTTTCATATTTTATACAAACTTAAAATAATATAATTTTAATATTTGTTATAAATAATAAGCTTATATGCCTACCTGGGATATTTGTTAAAAGATTGATAACTCTAGTATCTTTCCAGCTTACTGCCAAAATATTGTTACACATTCTCTTCAAACTTTCACCTTTCTTCAGTTTTTTAGTTGAGCTGTTTTCATGTCAGTTGGAAGTTCTTTGCGGTTGCTGTTTACAGTTCCACAAGACAATGTTTTTTCTTTGGCGAGATATTCAATAAGTTCAATGCTGGTATAGTAATTGTCCATAAATAAATGGTGACCTCTGTTAATATAAGGTTGACAAATATCAACAACAATTTGAGCAGTTTTAGAAAAATTGAGTGTCTTCTCTTTTTCCAGCATAGGGTATAATATTTATCACATATCCACTAGATGACTCTGCTAATGTAAACAGTTTTATTCCCCACTTTATAGGCTTGTTCTTAATATATTGTTTTATTCCAAGTCGTCCTTTGAATTTCAACATAGTTTCATCAACAGCAATTTCACGTTGCGGGTTGAAAACGCCTAACGACACGGTCTAATAGTGTCCTAATTTTCCATAATTTATCCGACTTGTCCACTGTTGTTGATGAATTATCTACAAAATGATTACATGACAATATCTGAAGAAATCTCTTGCTAGTCATAGTCTGATTGAACCCAGGTGTTTGAGTAAGCCAGTGTTTTGACCAATAACTTGCAACACGACCCTTTTTCTGTACTATACCAGTGGCGATGACAAGACATGTTTTCATTTCAGGCACTGAAATATTAGTTCAATCTTTGTGCTTGTTGCTGCCTTCTTTACACTGCTCAGCATACCTGTTAGTTTCCAAAACAATATCTCCCAAAATATCATCGGGTAAAAAAAAGTTGAAATAAATCCACTGCTTCAAAATGTTAAACATCAAGTGTTCAAAAACAAAATTGACATCGGGTGGTTCATGCAAATCATTAGTCCATTCACAAGATTTTAATGGCTCTTCTTGAAATTCGTTACGGTCGGCTTCAGCGTCACTAGAAGTAGAAGATTTACTGTCATCAGAATCTATTTCAAAGGCACTATCATCACTAACACGCTCTACGTCGCTTTCGTCACTTCCCCAAAATGACAGATCCGCTAAAATAGTATCCACACTTCTATGGGCCACTAACAAAAACATGACAGATCCATTACAAAATGTCGTCAGGGTAAACAATAATTAGAGTTATTTCCCTTTTATGACCTAATTTAGAAGGTCAAGGTGAACTTCCCGAACTTTGACTCACTAAACTTCATGGACGTAATATCACGTCAAGTAGTCTGAACGGTTGTAAATTGTATGACGTTATATTACGTCAAAAAGACTGAAAGGGTTAAGGCCGAACAGTCACACAAAAGGCTTAAAATTCACAGAGTTTAGTGATTGAAAACACCTACATCATCTGAAAATGATATGATATAATAAGTGTGTATTTGTGATGACAGTGCAAACAGCTATCATCTTGCTTAGGTGTTGCTAAGAGCATGTGTAATATTACTAGATTTTGCAGAAAATTTTCACAAAAAATTCATAATTTCAATTGATCTGCAGATTGTTGTGATAAATTTTGATTTTGACTAATCACAAGAAGTATTTGATTTCAAAAGGGGTTCTTTGACTCACAATTGATCTGCAATGTGATTCAGCTTAAATTAAACCCTGGAGTAGCCGATGAAATGCAATCTCATCTGCACATATCCTTCTGTTAATCTTCATCATTTTTAGTATTCGTATGGATCTTGTGCAAGGTTTATAAATATCTCACGACAATCAAGTTTTGGAGATAGACAGTCATGTTCTTTTTGTTTAAGATAACTTGCTTGTGTTGATCACAGTAGCAGTGTTTGACTGTGGCATAATGGCGTAATTCTTAGGAATTTTAGGTTGTAACATTGCTGTTAAGAGATTAGGCTTTTCATACATAATGGATAGTTTAGCAATTTGGCATTTCTTATTGGTATTTCTGGATGAATGGTGTTCGGGGGTGGTTTCCAAATGGATAAGATTATAGAAATTTGTATGGTTCTAGTGGTTTTTAAAGTATGTGCAGCTTAGTTCACCTCCATGTTAAAGGCATGACTCAAATCAAACTACTTTTTATACACCCACATGGAAATATGGAATGATATTGTCGTTGCCATTGTCCATCCTTCGGTCAGTCTGTCTACATTTCTTGTAGGGACAATAGAGACTACACATGCATGTATATAAATAGTGAGCTTGGTCAAGTTCGAAATTGGTAATAATCGGAAAATAGTTTTCAGATTTCAAGGAAGTCCAGTCAAGAATGCATTTGGTAAAAATCAGATCAACAGTTGTTATGGTTATTGCCCTTGACTTAGTAAAATCATGTCAAATTTGACTTGTTGGTATGATAGAGCTAACAGTTCTTATCTGATCTTGATGAAACTTGGTATGCATGTATATATTGATGATTATGTTCGAAATTGTTAATCATCAGATGAACGGTTTCAGAGTTATTGCCCTTGACTTCGTAAAAACTTGTCAAATTTGGCTTGTAGGCATGTTAGGGGCTATGGGTTTTATCTGATCTTAATGAAATTTTAAAAAAAACGCATCTAATTTGGCTTCTGGGCATGATAGTTTTTTATCCAACCTAGATGAAACTTGGTATGCATGTATATATTGATGAGATCTCGGTCACGTTCGAAATTGGTAAAAATCGAATGATCGATTTCAGAGTTATTGCCCTTGACTTACAAAAAACTCGTCAAATTTGCCTTGTAGACGTGATAGAGGCTACAGTTTTTATCCGATCTTCATGAAACTAGATATGCATGTATATAAATGAGATCTCGGTCAAGATAGAAATTGGTAATAGTCGGATGAACCGTTTCAGAGTTATTGCCCTTTTGTGTACAGGGATGAGACATTGTTCATGTTTAATGATAATTTTATGAACTTTTTCAGGATTTGACTTATAGATGATTTTAAGATTATTTGAAATTTCATTATTAAGCCACTAAATATTTTGTTATCATTTCTGACAGTTAGTAGTGAGTGTATGTTACTTTGCCTGGCAAGCTATCTAAATACACCTGGACATTCTTTTAAAACCACTATTCTACAGACAATTTTAATGTAGATAAAAGAAAAATAGATCTGGCTGAATCCATTTGGATTCATAAACTTAAATTAGTTTAACCAAGAGGATCAAATGAATACAATCCTGATACAATGAAAAACTTTTCAAAGTATTAGCTATTGTAACTCCTACCCCCCACTCTGCATTCACTGATAACTTAAATTTGCAGATGGTTGTTTGAATAACCAAGACATCACAATTTTTATTGTAACAGTTTTTTAAGTGTGTTTAAGATACATGAAACGTTGGAGGAATTAATGGTTTATTTTGAGTAATGTTTTATTATTTAAAGCCTCATATTTTCATCAGAGACAACAGTTTTTATCTGATTTGAATGAAATTTGGTGTGATCATTTATATTTATGAGATCTTGGACACTTTCGAATTTGACGATCTTTCGATGAACGGTTTTTGAGAAATTGCCCTTGACTTATGAAAAATGCATCACACTACATAGAGACTACAGTTTTCATCCAATTTAAATGAAATTTGGTGTGAATATTTAAAATGATGAGATCTTAGACAAGTCCGAATTTGGCTATCTTTTGATGAATGGTTTTTGAGTTATTGCCCTTGACTTATGAAAAATGCGTCAAAATTTGTTTGTGAACGCAATAAAGACTACAGTTTTCATCCAATTTAAATGAAATTTGGTGTGAATAGTTAACATGATGAGATCTTGGGCAAGTTCGAATTTGGCTATCTTTCGATAAACGTTTTTTGAGTTATTGCCCTTGACTTAAGAAAATTTGGTGTGATCAATTATAGTAATGAGATCATAGACAAGTTTCGAATTTGATGAGTAGAGAGTACAGTTTTCATCCGATTTAAATGAAATTTGGTATGATCATTTATAATGATGAGATCTTATTCAAGATTGAATTTGACAATTTTTCGATCAACGGAATTTGAGTTATTACCCTTGACTTAGTAAAAACGCATCAAAATTTGTTGGTGATAGAGGTGACAGTTTATGTCAGAATTTTATTAAATAATGTGTGTTTGTTTAAATCAACAATATCTTGCACAAATTAGATTTTTGGTATGATTTGACACAGATTGGTGACCGCCCTTGATATACTGAAAATGTATCAGGAAAGTGGTATCTGATTTTATTGAAATTTAGTGTGATCATTTATATGACGAGATCTTGGACAAGTTCGAATGTGATGATTTTTGGATGAATTTGGATTTCGGGGAAGGGAGGGTTTGATTCTCCCAAATGTACAGGGCTAGGGTGAAGCAGACACTTTATTTAGAAATTAGGATTAAGGGTCTTGATATTGGGTTTTCTTCTGTTCTTATTCTGATCTGAAATTAGAAAAAATAACTTGGCCAATGGGCGAGAAGTATAGCATCTGTCTGTATGTCATGTCTGTAAAGTTATGTACTGATTGTTTTTAGTTTACTATGAACAATATTATCATTTTAGTTCTTATTTTTTTGAATATGCAACTATCATTTTCTGCTTATAGACATGGGGGAATTTCTCCTGAAGGCTCTTATAGTGGGCATGAACTATCTTGCTTGCTCGATTGCTGGTTGTATTAAACGGGACAACAAAGGGTGTTACGCCTACATTATGGTGAATATTTAGTCCTATAGGTCTTGCTGTATTCTATGTCTCAATCCAATGGGCTTCGGGCGCTCCAATGAGATTGGGATTATATTCCACTATATGCCCTTTCGGGCATTCTCGGATTTATTCTGCATCTTTAAAGATTGTCAACAAGGAAGAAAACAATAAACCATTTTCAGCTTGATAATACATATTTATTAAAGGTGCTTGTGTTATCCTCCCTTTTATAAAATTGCTGGAAAGTAGTGGCGTGCAACCAACTTGCTGTTTTCAGTATTTCTGAAATAGGACAACCAGAATTAAAAGCAACTGAGAAAGATGCTCCTCTTGTAGAGTGTGCCTTAAAGTGTGAAACATCAATACCTGCCATACCCAGACAAGATTTAATCCATCTAGCCATAGTTTCTGAAGTGACAGCTCTAAAGGTTAAAAATGATACAAATAATTGAGATGATTTCCTCTTCTCTGTAGTTCTCAAAATATAGACTCTAAGGGTCTTACAAGGACATAAGCTTGGTTTCCTGAAATTTGATAGCTTGACTGAGTATAACGGTTTTGACTGTCTAGATGTCTTAATAACCTTGTTAATACCAAGAGTAATGACCTTACCGGAATCATGAAAAGCATCTAAACTCAAACAAGACAAAGCTGACATCGTTGTGCAGTTGACAGGGCCAACAAACAAACAGTTTTTAGGGTAAGTTCCTTTAGTGACAATTTATCCAGTGGATACATGGAACCAAGAAACTTCAGTAACACTGATGCATCCCATGTAAACAAGTATCGTGGTCTTGGAGGTATTTTGACAAATAAACCCTTCATAAACCGAGCCACTAAAGGCCGATTTTTCATAATATTCAGTGTTTGAACAATTGCAGATCTGGCAGTATTTACTATAAAATACGAACTATTCTGTGACAAAATTTCTAAGTAATTAATGAACTGGGTTAAAGATGGATCCAGGGAATTAACTTGTTACTGATCTGCCCAAAGAGCCCACCTTTTCCAGGCCAAATCATATTGTTTATTTGTTCTAGGTTGCCAAAAATGATCATTGTGGCAGTATTTCCAGATAAACCCCTACTAATGAGGTATCTCCTGACACAAGAGAAGCGGTCAAGTAAAGTTTCTTCCCACCTAATGATGGTTTATTCTGCTGAACGGCAAACTCAAAATGTCTTTCCTGGCAGGAAGTCGAGCTGGATGTGCTATTAAGATTGAGAGTAGAATTAGATACCATATCTGTGTCTCCCATCCGGGTACTATTAACAACATCTTTGGTACTCTCTCCTATGTTATCTTCCACAGAACTTGACTTACTAAACTGAAAGGAGGAAAAGCATATGGATAAAGATCTTTCAGAGAGAAAGCGTCATTTTCAGTACTACCCGTTGGGTCTGGTTCCCATGATACAAAACTATCTAATTGACGAGTGCCAAATAAATCCACATCAGGAACTGAAAAAAGATGACAGACTTTACTAAAGACATGCCTGTTCAATTTCCATGCTGTTGAATTGGAAAAATCTCTAGAGAGTTTATCTGCCAAGTGATTCAAAACACCAGGAATATACTTGGTGGATATAACAATACTTCGCTCACAGCACCATAGCCAAATTTTCTTTGCGATAAAAAATGAATATTCAACAAATCCACAAATTTTGTTGATGTACACAATAGCAGTTTGATTGTCAGATTGAATGCATATGTGAACATTTCTTAAATGTGAACACAAAGAACTTAAGCCATAAAAAATTGCTTTAAGTTCTTAATATTTAATTTGGTACATAGATTCCACCCCAGTCCATCTACCGTTTGATTGATCATTGTCAGTATGTGCTCCCCAGCCCAGAGCATCAGTTGTTAACAACAAGCCAACAGGAGGTGGTTGGATATGATGACCATTAAAGCTCTCAATATTTGTGACCCACCAATTCAATTCAGAAATCATATCAAGATCTAGAATTATGTTTCCATCATAGTCTAAGTAGGAAGCCTGAAGCTCTCTGACTTTCCCTTTATCAAGATAATGAATAAAAATGAGAGCAATAACAATTGCAGTTCGACTGAAAGAACAGAGACCAAAAGGAGGCTACAGTCCTAATGGTAGGTTGAAACAATGGATCTAGCAACTGAAGAGCCAGAGCCTATAAAAAAATCTCTTATTCTGTCTGAAATTATACATAATTTTATTGCGATTAAGGCGATGGGATTGATCTATTTCCCTTCTACATTGGGACAGATCTGGAACAAAGAGTGTGTCACCAACAGGCTTAGAGGAAGAACAGAGAGGATGAAAGCGTTTGCTCATGAAACGCCGTAAATACAAGCACCTTTTAATAGAGATCTCCAGCATGATATTGCCAAGAGTAGCCGCAGAATCTAAAATGGTACTTTTGACCTCTAGATCTATTTGTTTCGACAGAACCGACAACAGTGGCGAAATCCCAAGACCTACAAGCTGTTGAACGTCTTGTAATGACGTGTCCTGTGTTGGGCATACCTTTAGATATTCCAAACATCTGGTTCGATAAGGGGAGGAATAAGTCTCTTGCAGTTTTCTGATATTGGATATTTGGAAGCCAATTCGTCTATTTCTACCTTCTTTGAAGTGGCTATATTGATGAGATTGACAATGCTGTCAGAGGCAGGGTTACCAATTGCGGGATCTCCGCTAAATATTTTGGGAATAACAAATTGGTCAGGGTCATTAATTGAATTCCTCATACATACTTTCGGGATCAAAAAGATTGAGGACAGGTTCATTGTATGTGGCCATATTGTTTTTAGAGGTATCATTATTATCATTAAAATGTTCATTACTATTATCATTTGGATCAGCCATGATTTGACCTATTTCCTCTTCAGCATTTTGATTTTGATTTTCATTATCATTATTGTTCTTATTATTATTATAATTAGATGTAACTAAGTTTGTTAAAACTGCAACCTGTTGTTTAATAATGTCAAGGAGACTACATTGGTTGGCCTGTTGGAAGATACTTTGCCAGTCAAGGGATTCCTTCTAAAAGTAACAGTTTTGTGAAACTCTTTGGGTCGGTCGATTTCAACTTTATGAAAATTGTTATCAACATGAACAGTAGATCTACTACTAGTACTACCACCAGTATTATCGTAATTGTTAAATATGGAGTCATCCTCAAACGTATCACCAAAAGAATCAATAAAGTGTTCATCCTTGGGTGTTTCTATACCAATTATGGCGTTACCTACTGGCTTAGGACATTTTTGGGGCTTAGTGGCCTTTTTATTAGACTCCAATGACTTACATTTCCTCTTATTATTATTACCGGAAACGGACCTTTCAGAAGATAAACATCCGGTTGATTGATTGTCCAGACGTACATCATTAATGATTGGGTCTGTAGACCCACTTTCATTAAACTCGAAATTAAAGTCATCATCTGGCAAGTCATCTTGTAACAAAATGACAGGATTGTTGAGATTATCCATCTCGGATACAATGTTACCAATGAAAAAAAAAGAAAAAAAAAAGACAAACCTGCGGTTTGACAACTGAGGCTAGTTTCGAAATTGAAAGTAGACCAACGGCACTACTTCATGTTAAATCTAGCTTACACTAGATGGATTTAAATTCTAGCCTCAGTAGTCACAGAAAAAATTCAACGAATTTAAAAATAATTAAAGTTATATCACCGTAGCGATGAGCATAGGTCTGTTTCAAACGAGAAAAAAGACATTTGTACCTTGTTACTGGCTGTTTATATAGTAAACAACCGTGTAAGGATGTGTATGCGCATGCGTTTGGGCATGCGCACAAGCTCTATGCACGTGAAGTTTTCACTTTAAACGTTGAGCGATTGAGCATATTCACGGAAACAAATGAGAATAGAGTAAATCCGAGAATGCCCAAGGGGCATATAGTGGAATATAATATAAAATGAATTAAATATTTTATTCTTTGCTGTTGATTGCTATCTTGTAAATACTCTAGAATTTTGATAAATTCCTTGATTATCAATTAAGGAAGAGTTTTATCGCATGAAGTATAGATTTATTTTATACAGGTGATAGTTATCTTTCTGCCAAATGTTCTTATCTAACAAAACTGCCTGTTGTCTGTACCCTACCTTGCCTTGCAAGCTTTCTCCAAATTTACAGTCCAACTTTTTGTACATGTTACATGAAATTATGTCAGATGTGTCATCACATTACCAGATTTCAGTGACTTCATCAAAATTGTTCAAGATAAATTCATTCAGTTATGTTATTAGCAGTTGAATTGAATGGTTCTTAATCTCTAAGGGCGAACTAACCTTGACAATGAACACAGGGCAAAGCGATGCGATGATTGCTGCTATTAGAATGTTGGCGCATATAATAATATTGTCAGCCTTACAGTAAGACAGAAAAATTGTCAGTCTAAAGTGTGCTTAAAGGGACTGATGAGCAATTTTGGGAGGTTGATTTGAGTCTTGAATATAGGTAAATTGTCTTCAGAAGTACTAAAAATGTAAGAAAATTGAATAATTCTTTCAAAAATATCTTAAGTTAGTAATCATACATGTATACAGGTCAGGAAAAAAATCTCCTTGTAAAATCTGGAGATTGGGAGAAAAGTCGGGATATTTTTCCACAGCTCGTAAATTTATGAATTTTAAACTCCAAATTGATTCTTTTTTTTTAAATAAGCCTTAAGCCTTGTAAATTAATTAAATTGATCATAGGCCTACATGACACAGTAAAAATTAACAAATCTATAATGCTAGAAATATTGCCTGACATTTCAAATTTAGGGGCCAAAAAAATTTATTATTGTCATTCTTCAGTATTGATTGAATCAAAATTTTGACAAAATTTGAAAAATATTGGCATCACACAAAAGAGTGTTACGTACCACACCTACTCATGAAGTCAGCTCCTATGTTTTGACTTCCTTTTACTGCTTCAATTCGAAACCGATAGGGTTGTAAAGATAAGGCCCAACGCATTAGGCGACCGTTTACCAAGTTTACTTAATTTACTAATATCTGGTAATCTAAGCATAACTGGAGTTGCTAAAATACCTTTCAATTCCTTAAATGCTTTTTCTTGTTCTGCTTCAAACTTTATTTTGTTTGGCTTACCTTTCCGAGTTAAATCGGTTAATGGTGCTGCAATTGTAGCAAAATTGGGTACAAACTTCTTATAATAACCTGCTAAACCCAAAAAACTTCTTAATCCTTTCTTTGTTATTGGGACAGAGGCATTTACTATGCTTTCTACTTTGCTTTGTTGAGGCGATATCATTTTCTCACCCACAAAATGACCTAAAAAATCAAGTTTCTGAAAACCAAACAAACATTTAGTTGGACGAGCTGTTAACTTAGCTTTTCTGAGTCTCAAAAATAACTCTTCAAGAGTTTTTATATGCTCTGAAAAAGATTTACTAAAAACAATTATGTCATCCATATAATTAGATATATCTTTCATTCCTCGTAACAATTTTCTCATCACTCGGGAGAATGAAGCTGGTGCACACACTAAACCAAACGGCATTTTTCTAAACTGATACAATCCTTGAGGAGTTTGAAAAGCTGTATATTTCTTAGAATCTTCCGCCATCGGTAACTGCCAACCTTTAGAAAGATCAATTTTAGACATGTACGAAGAATTACATAATTGGTGAAAAATATCATTGGATTTTGGAATTGGTTCTGCATCATATACTGTAATTTGGTTCAGTCTCCTGAAATCAATACAAAATCTATTAGTGCCATCTGGTTTCTTCGTTAGAACAATAGGAGATGAATATGGTGAATCTGATTCTTCTATGATTCCCATAGACAACATATTATTAACTTCTTTTTCAATGGTATCTTTTGTAGCATGGGGAATAGGATATGGTTTCAATCTTACTGGATTATTAGACATAAGTTTTATAACATGTTCCCCTAAATCTGTGGTTCCAGGTAGATCTGTCAAAATATCCTGAAAATCATTCAATTCTTTGTAATTGTTATCTGTTAAGTTTTTATTTAACTTATATTATTAATTTATATTTATTTTTATAACAGCATCCTTAAAATGCTCTTTAGCTTCTAATGGTGGCGTAATTATCTCCGTTTGCTCAGAAAGAGGCTCTGAACACTCACAAATTACTGCAGACACATGTTTAGATAAACGTTCATCGTCTTTTCTGACATAGTAATGCTTCAGCAAATTAGCATGAAAAAGTTTAACTTTCTGTCCAATTCTTACTTTATAATCAAATTTACCTTGAATGTTTTCTACTTTATATGGGCCTTTCCACTGCGTTAGTAATTTATTGTGGTCTGTAGGTAGAAGAAGCAAAACCGAATCTCCAATTTTAATATTCTTCTCCTTGGATTTTTTATCATAGTAATATTTTCCTTTTTACTGGATTTTATCAAATTTTCTCTAGCTAAATAACAAGTATCTTCTAATCTACGTTTTAGATCAATAACATACTGATACGTAGTCTTAACCTCATTAGTTAAAGTCTCACCTGTCCACAATTCGTGAAGAATATGCATTGGGCCTCGAACATTCCTTCCATATAATAATTCGAAAGGACTAAATCCAAGACTCTCTTGAGGGCATCTGCCAAAATACATTTCTGTATTTCTCCTGTATACTCACTATCTAAAACAAGAGAATCTTTCACAACAGCACTCAAACAGCCAGTGTGTCGTAATACACTTACTTTAACATCATTTATATAACCATCAGGGAATAGGCATTGAACAGTTATAAGCCAAAGCTCTTTTACAAGATGCACTTAAATATGAAATTTCATCTTTATCGATACCATCATCTGAAACACAAGCATTAACTGAATTATTAAAGTCACACTTTGGTTTTTGTTTTACATCGCGATATTTCTGCTGGTTACTATTACCAACAACTTTATTACCATTTCGTTCTGAATCTATGGAAACAGATGCAGCATTTGACCTAATGTTATTCAATAAAATACAATTCTTCATTTCATGATTGGTCTTCCTACAAATAAAACATCTTTTTTGATAGATATTACTAGCATCTTTATTACTTTCATTTTCCTTGCTCTTTTCAGTATACCTACCGTGTGCTATCATGAATCGATCTGCTATTTCTGCCATTTCTTTTACCGACGAAGGACATTGTTCTTTTAAAAACATAGATAAGTCCTTAGAACATGTATGCAAAAATTGATCTCTTAATAATAAATCTTTCCAACCTTCAAAAGTTTTTTTCTGACTTTGCAAGAGTCGTCCATCTTTCAAGGGAATTTTCAAGGCGAACAAAGAATGGTCCTGCAAACTCACCCTGTTCCGGTCTTACCGTTCTAAATTTCTGACGAAATCCACCTGCAGTTAATTCATATCGTTTAAGCAAAGCATCTTTTAATACTTCATAATTTACCGAATCTTCTGGAGACAACCTTGCGTAAACTTCTAAACCTTTCCCTGTTAAAAGCGCACTAAGATTGACCGCCCAGTCTTCAGAAGGCCACTTTTCTGAGACTGCATAACGTTCGAATCTATGCAAAAACGCGTCGATATCGTCTTTTTGCTCATTAAAAATCGGCAATTTCGGATGACGTATATTTGACGAATACTTCCGGCTTTCTAAATCACTAGTTGACAACGATGATTCTAAAGTTTGTTGTTTTAAATTTTCCAACATAATTTCCTTATCAACCAAAGTTTCTTTAATTTCCAATTGTCTCAAAACAAACTCCCTTTCTGCAACTCTAGATTCCCTATCTCTTACCCGTTCTTCCCTAATCAATGCTCTTTCCTCTGCAACAAAATTTGTCAACTCCTCTCCTTCCAATCCTATCTCTCTACCTAATCTAATAATACCATCAAAATCCATCCTCAAACAATAAACTTGTAAATTATAACTTTAAAATGTCAAAGTCGAAATTGTCTTGACATGTAATACAGTGTCCATTATATACGGGGCTACTACACATCAAATGAGATCTTAATTAGAACATAACATATTGAACAAATCACATCAATCTATGAATTCAAAAATCTAGTGTCAAATACATTAAATATTCCCTACATATTAATACTATAACATTACAAACATATACCAGTACTGGATTTTAAATTATTAACCCTTCCGTAAGATAAAACTTCAGTACGAAACATCCCACTTCTGACACCAAATTGTCACAGGATGGATGGACGGAATGCTTCGCACATTAGAATCACCCCAAAGAAGACTCAATAATAAGAGATATAAATTAACAAATTTACTTAGCCGGCAACAACACATACATATTATACAAATTTAACAACAATAAACATAAAAATATACACAACCACCCCCCAATTTCAGTTCATGATCATCTTCTTCAGCTATCATGCTAATAAAAGTTATCCCGTAAGATTTGTCCACCATCATAAGTACATTACGATCTCAGTTAGTAGTTAATCAAATGGCACATCCGTACACAATATTACACGCAACAGATATCAATACAGATTACAGGTTACACATAACTAATAACCACACACATAGGGATACAGATTACACCCTAACTAAAGGTTGGTCGTCTACAGTCGTGTCTCCATAATTCGTTACTAGTATGTCCGATAGACACAGAAATGCCTTGTTGCATCACCCCGACAACATTTCCAACACCATTAGATGAATACTAACTAATATAATTGTCATCCAGACTATTAGTACCATTTTATAAGTTACCATAGAACTATACTATTATCAGCTATCAACTATCGACCATTTTCATTATGTCACCCGAGACAAGTCGAAGTCTACATTACAAAAAGTAGAGCTGAGGAAACTAATGGATTTCAAGACATTTACGACTACGATGAAACGCTGAACGACCAGACCAACAACAAAACTCTGACTAAATCAGAATGAGCCACGAAACTAAATACTTCAAGCCTTATATTCCTTGTGTTACCAATGCACGTGCTAAGCCTGCTTAGAAACTATTAAATTTCGGGGAAGGGAGGGTTTGATTCTCCCAAATGTACAGGCCTAGGGTGGAGCCAAATGTACAGGCCTAGGGTGGAGCAGACACTTTATTTAGAAATTAGGATTAAGGGTGTTGATATTGGGTTTTCTTCTGTTCTTATTCTGATCTGAAATTAGAAAAAATAATCTGTTATGTACTGATTGTTTTTAGTTTACTATGAACAATATTATCATTTAAGTTCTTATTTTTTGAATATGCAACTATCATTTTCTGCTTATAGACATGGGGGAATTTCTCTTGAAGGCTCTTATAGTGGGCATGAACTATCTTGCTTGCTCGATTGCTGGTTGTATTAAACGGGACAACAAAGGGTGCTATGCCTACATTATGATGAATATTTAGTCCTATAGGTCTTGCTGTATTCAATGTCTCAATCCAATGGGCCTCCCTAGTTACACGTCAATACATTTTCGATTAACCAGACCCTAAATTATTCCCATAAATATACACTGTGATAGTCTAATCTATATAAACAACAAAATAAACTTTAAAGATACAGTCTCCCTTAAAGAGAGGTTACACCAAAAATCTAACACGACTTTGTGACAAATGTCAAAGTGAAATGATGTTTGAAAACAAGAACGCAAGTGTGGTAGTTGTATTTCTCATGTTTCTGTTCTTTATTTCTGAAGTATAGCTTTAAGTTTCTTTTTCTTCCCTAGTTTATCAACGGTAGCTTTAAGTTGTTTACCAGCAGAATGAGCACTTTTCTTTATTTTTACTCAGTTTAAATTCTAATCACTCTCCTATATAAGACTTTCTCTCTCTTTCTTTCTTCACTTCTGTCATTTCACCTAATATTGTATGTTTGATGTCATCTTTGTTGAAATCTTAGGCTACATGGTTATTTAGCTTACACCTAATTTTATACAAGTTTATAATAACTCCTATTTCATAGGAGTTATTGTTTAGATTTATAGTAAAAAAATTTATCGAAGCCCGACCCAGAGTTTCCTTGTACCTTTAAAAAAAACCTGCTACACAAGCATGATTCCAGCCCTCTAAATTAAATTGTTCCGGTAGGCCTCCCATCATACATGTAATACCTCTAGTCCGATCATTAAATAAATTTCCTGCAACACCCTCACAAATTATTGAACCGAATTAGCCACTTCTATTTTGACATTCTTCAGATATGGAAACTCTTGTAAGTAAGCAAGTTATGCAGGCTATAAATGAATGTTTACAGGCTACAGTAAAATTACAAACAAAGTTCGAGTTTACATAAGAATTAGACATCAAGTCGCGTATGATAATCTACCGATAATAAAAAAAGAATTCTGAAACGACGTCTATGTTATATAGGCCTATTATAGACCTCACAGGTTGACAGTATAAATACTATGTAGACTTCAAGATTTTGTTTTTACTAGTAGTAAGTTATTTCCCTATTTCAATAGATGTATTATCTGTTATCTATATATGGCAGAAAACAGGACTGATTTTTTTAACATTCAAACGTAAATAATTCTGGACACACATAAATTTGAAGGCTCAAATTACAATGGTGAGCTGTGAGCACTATTACTGATTGGATTGCAGTAGTCCAGTGATATATTGACTGCTGTTGCTGTTAAATTTAATAGACTTTACCTCACTTTTTTCATGTCATAAACTTTATGATAAAATTTTTTGTTCTTACAGAATGATAGTTTGTTAAATGGAAATAGTTGGCCACAATTTACAGATTGTTTTCAACAAACTATATTGGTATGGGTGCCTTTGATCTGGTTGGTTCTGATCACACCTATTTATGCATACTACCTCTATACATTAAAAGTGTTTCCAACAGTTCCTGTTAACTCTCTCAATATCTCTAAAATGGTAAGTATATTTTATGTGGAAATATCTCATATATAGTGTTGATAAAAAAAAATTAAGGTTGAAAACAATTTTGAAAAATTTAGTAACACTGGTGAAAGAAAATCCACTGGCTAAAAGACAAAGAGTCTACTTTTCCACCAACCAAGTCTGCCAAAGCTAATGCTAAAGAAGTGAACCTATTTATCCTAAGGGAGACACTCCAGTCGAAATCTTAACTACCTCATAATCAACCGACTCGACACCAACCCAGACCTAACACAGCCCACAGCCAATAGGCCCTCCATTTAACTCCATTGGATTGTCAGATTGCAAACTTTCCAACCACATGGATCAATGGCAAATCTAAACCTGGACACCCCACTTCTTTCTTTGCTTCAACTTTAGATTCCCCCTATAGCCTCCCCACCCTCTCACTTCCCAAACAATGCAAGTTCCTACATTTACTTTTACTGTTCAGTGCTGGACGGTACCCTCAAAATCAGGCATCCAACGTCCAAGTTACCTTTACTCTTATTTATCCCAGCTTCTCTTAACCCAGACAGTTTGGTGTAGTCTTAAACCCTCCTACCTTGGAACAAACCAATCCCGGTACTGATCAACCCCGGTAACCCCGATACTTACGAACCTCGACAACCCCAGTGAATCCCGTACCAGGGTAACCTTCCTCCGTGGTCCATGAACAGTATAAATAGAACCCCGCAAGGTGATTCTAATCAGTCTGAAGAGTTCAAACACGAACGAAACTAGTCAATGATAATCGGGTTGCACAGCCAATCTTTATCTCTTATATAATAAAAGTTATGTATGAAAGATAAGCTTTATTATATATCGTCGCTGTGGTTGCAAAATGTATCTCCGTTTTCGAAAATTTTTCAGGAGGGCAAAAACACTTCATAAAATTGTTAAAATTCTATCTATATAGCTACAATTTTGTATGAAACAAATACAACAGATACGCACATTACACGACTAGTCTGTTTACTGGTCTGCTACTTGTAACCCTTCTTGAGAAGAGTTACGATATTTTGACATGGAAAAATGTTTTGACAGCCCAAGATACACCCCTTGAATTGAGAATTAAGAATATTTTTGTCTGAGATACGACATTTAGGTCATTTTAGTAGGGGTAAAAAGCAAAGCCTGGTCACCATAACGTCTATAACATTATACAGAACAAAACTATTATAATTTTTTTCTTTAATTTGATATTTTGCTAACATTGAACTAAATATTGAAGGGCTCATATTTTTTAGCTGAGTATCATTGAGTAACAAATTCAAGGTGTGTACCCCATGTTATTGTTCTTGGTGGTGTTAACACCAAGGAAAAATTAAAATGTCACTCACTATGTAACTGTAGTGGTGCTAATTTGCATATTGACATTAATATTGATTCCTACAAGGGATCCTGACATCTTCACTTTTATTATGTAACATTAAATCTGACAACTAAAAATCTGTAACATTAACTTAACTTTTTTACACACTTTTGTATAGGCCACAAACACAGCTTAACTATGTAAGAGATTGTCATAAAAGGGATGGAAATCCCTTGGTATAACCTTTTTAAGTTCCTGTAAATGGTTATATTTGGTGGTTTTTATACGCAGGGGTCCTGTATGTTACTTGTCAACTGTATCATTTAAGTTTATCCCCCCTAATTTAGATCTTCGCGGTAGAGATTCGTATGTATCTGTAAATGACAATTTGTATCGAATTGTACCATCAGGTGTATACTTAAACACGTAAATCAGTAACTCGAGCATCGCCTGCCTCATGTCCTGGACTGATAGAGGAGTAATATTTGAGACTGCTAAATTTCTTGAAGAAATCATGATCAACATATTTTACTTCATGTTTCAAAAGAGCAGCAGGTATCACATTGGTCCTTTTTCGGTTTGAAAATAGACAAATTCATATCATTAAAGACAAACGTAAAAGATTTTCTATTCATTATGGGTATATTGTTCTCATCACATGAAATGTGGAGCGTATATTGCCGTCACCCATGTCGTTGGTGGGGCCTCAGAAGATAAAGCTCTTTTCATTATTTTGGTATATCTGGAATCTGCAATCAATTGCTAAAAAAAATTTGGAAGCAGACTTTTAAATTTCGATTTCGCTTTTCTTTTATTTCCGGTTTTATGTTTTCAATAATTTTCAAGTCTAAACTGTTAAGGCTAATATCTAGTGACCTTCTGACATCCACTATATTTGTTTCCCCTGATGATATCTATTCGATATCTTCTTTTTTGTAGTGCTTCAGGGATGTTTATTTTATTTTTTTGGCAACTGGACATTTTTCAACACCTATGAAATCTGATCTCAATTTCCCTTGAGAATTTTCAACAGATAACAGATAATCTAACCAAACCAAACCAAACCAAACCAACGACTACCATTCGACTACCAATCAACAAGAAATACCATGATCAGAACGAGTTTGGAAGAATGAAGGAGACAGAGTAACTCACGCCACACCATCCAGGGCCGAGTTTCACCGCCATGTCATTCGACCCGACCAGATCTAACGAAGAATCAACAACCAAACCAACAACACCGAATCATCCAATTTGATCCAATCCAACTACTACGACTACCTAGTTTGTGATATCAGCATCCGCTGGAAGCGAACGTTAACTTGTCATCTACCTACCTACCTACCTCCCTTGAGAAAATATATTATATATATACCGGTTTATTGACATGATGTTTTGACTTTCAGATATCTTTTTTGGTTTTCCTGATGATTGCCTAATTGACTGTGAGAGATGTATGATTATCTTCATATATTCCTTAATATATCTGTCATATTTTCACAGATTGACACATCCTAATCAATTTCCAATAGATAAGATCATCAGTAAACAATCTAATTTACTGACATTTTTTATATGCTAAACAGTACCCCAGTAGCATAATGTGCATTGTTTACTTCCAGTTTTTACAGTTATTTGAAAATCACGAAGATTAATTTTTGAAGAGCTGTCACATGACCTAACTTTTCATTCTAACTTTCTCTTATAACTTTATTACATATAATCAATTCTTTCCAATGATATATAACTCTTCATATTTTGATAAAAATTGTGCTTTGAAAATTTTGCTTCGACTTCTATAGTAACAAAATTATAAGTTTTTGTTGTATAAACTCAAACTTTAGCGAATATCTCATGATCTAATTAATGTAGGCGCTTGAAATTTTTAAACATCATTTAACATTGTACACATAATAACTAAAAAAATTCTCTTTACAATTGCACTTGAAAATTTGAAAATCAATTTCTTTAGTAACTGTGCTTAAGTTGGTCTTTGTTGTATAAACTCAAGCCTTTGGAGTGAAACAACGAATATCTTAACAAATTAAAATATTTGCAATTGTCACCATCGAAAGTTGCATGAAAATAGTTAACTTGTTTGGACAATTTGTGATGAAAATAAATTGTTTCAGCTTTTTACTTTAAAAAATGGATTAGGTTTTTCAATTTGTCATTTTTGACATAAATTACCTTGCAAATTCAAAGGTCATTTATCTAGAATATCAATTCATACTTTGATATTTTAAGTCCAACATATACTTCAGGTTTTACAGGCATCTGAAAACAAGCAATCTCTTTTTTTTGACCATTAACAAGGTGGCTCAAAATTAGCTGGTGCGGCAGAAATTGTTTCAGTCCTCTAGAGAGCTGTGCCTTTTGTACAATCCAATATAAATAAAAAATTTAAAATCATTTTAGTCACTAATTCAAAACTTGACAAAAATTAAATTAATACTTTAAATAAGAGCTTTTGACAGTTCTGGCTTCGTCGCAGCAGAAAGGCGTCCTTCGGTAATTAGCTCAGAACATGTTACAGTTACCGTGCCCAAGGCGTAGTATAAGCTTGATTATAGCTATTGGCATCCTCACGGCATCAAGAATGTCTTAAGACAAGTGGCAAACATCTCCATAAACACAATAAGAATGAAGTAGACTACACTAAGTCAAACGATTGGCGATCAAACCTTTGACCTCAGCAGCAAAAATGGTCATATCGTAGCACCAAATTGTAATTACATATACTTTCCTGTACTCAGGTTGATCTGTGAGCATTGATAAAAGATATGCTGCTAACAAGTATTGTTCTCTTTTCAGTTTCTTGGATTATCACTTAGTCTGCTGTCTCTCTTTGAGTTGCTGTATTCTATAAGTGAAAAAAATGGAAATAATTCTCAGTCTGAAATTGTTGCCAAAGGAATACAAGTGATATCTTTTGTAAGTACAAATTGTTATTACTTTGTTATGATTTAAGTATTAAACATTTAAAATGTCCAGAATCAACAGGGAAAATTATAGGGCATTATATGAGCCTGATTTTCTGTCTGGGTCAGAACCATGCATGGAAATCTTCAAATTTTGTCTTAAATCCACCCAACAGAAAGCTTTATAAGAAAGCAAAATTCATCACCATCCCAATTACAGTAATAAGATCAAATTCACTAGTCTACAAACTAAAATACTTTTTATACATCCACATGAAATGGGGGACGTATATTGCCGTCACCCATGTCCATCCGTCCGTCCACAATTGCTCGTAAACACTCTACAAGACACAATTCTTGACGAAACTTGATGTGAGTGTTCGTAATCACCCAAGGATGAACCCTATTGAAAATCAGAAGAATCGAAAAATATGTAGTATGAGTTATTGCCCTTTTCCTTGAAAACGCGTTCAATTTTAGCACATGCTAACACTCTAGGAGACACAATTCTTGACTGATTTTGACGAAACTTGGTATGAGTGTTCGTAATCACCCAAAGATGAACCCTATTGAAAATCAGAAGAATCGAAAAATATTCGATATATATATGAGTTATATGACCTTGTTCTTGAACACGCATTCAATTTTTAGCTCGTAAACACTCTAGGAGACACAATTCTTGACGGATTTTGATGAATCTTGGTGTGAATGTTGGTAATCACTCAAGGGTGAACCCTATTGAAAATCAAAAGAATCTAAAAATATTTAGAATGAATTATTGCCCATGTTCTTGAAAACATGTTCAATTTTTAGCTTGTAAACACTCTAGAAGGCTCAATTCTTGACGGATTTTGATTCATCTCAGCATGAGTGTTTGTTATCACCCAAGGATGAACCCTATTGAAAATCAGAAAAATTGAAAATATTTAGTAGGAGTTACTGCCCCTGTTCTTGAAAACTTGTTCAATATTTAACTTGTGAACACTCTAGAAGGCACAATTATTGACAAATTTGGACAAAACTTGGCATGAGTGTTCGTTATCACCCAAAGATGAACCCTTTCGAAAATCAGAAAAATCGAAAATATTTAGTATCAGTTATTGCCCATGTTCTTGAGAAAGTGGTAAATTTTGAGCTCATTAACATTCTGGAAGGCTGAATTCTTGACAGATTTTGACAAAACTTGGTGAAATTGATTATTATCAACCATGGATGAACCCTTATCGAAATTTCAGCTCTTAAACAATAAAAGGCATGATTTTTGCCGGATTTTGACAAAACTTGGCTTTATTATTCAAGATTGAATATTTGCCTTCTAGAGTTTTCAAGGGCAATAACTCATACTCAATACTATTATATCGCCCTAAAGAGTTCAAAAGAAGTGTATGACTGAAGGTTGAATATTTCATGCTGGTGATTGTAACTGTACTGCTAAATATTTTTATTGAAAATCAAAGCTGCCAGTGAGCGTATTTTACCTTGCCTGGCAAGCTATCTTTTTATTAGCTGTGATGGGCATTGGCAGCTGCAGAATTTGGATTAGTAGGAGACACTGCCAAATATTTTTCAAATCTGGGCTGTGGGAAGGTGGATATTTGTCTATCTATAAGCTTAGATCTTGTTTTTTAGCGAATTTAAAAGAGTTATCTTTCAATATTGAGCTGCCACTGGTTATGGGTGTTTATTATGGAATGTTTGCTTGGGAACTAAGACTGCTTTACGAATGCTAACATTTCTGACTTTGTTTTACAGATTTATGCAACAGTTATTCTGCACATAGAGAGAATAAAGGGCTTGTTAACATCTGGTGTTTTATTCATATTCTGGCTCTTGATATTATTGACATCAATTATTCCATTTTATAGCAAAATTATGCTGAAGGTGAGTAAACTTTGAAATTTTTTTGATCACTCAATGAAGCAGAGGCTTGCCAGCTTATAGGTACAGACAGGCGTTTAATTAGTAATGGGGACCATGAATTCATCCAAAATTGAAGTCTGGACATCAAAATCAGTTGAAATCACCTGAAATAAATACCTAACACCTTAAAAGTCTTGGCCTTAGATATTAAATCTGTTCTTTACAAATTTGGAATTTACCATATTTGGTCATACATGTGCATTAATTTACATATTATTCAGGTGCTGAACATTATTTTTCATTTCTTTTTGATAAACAAATATGGAATTTACAAACCCTGAAAGTATCTTGAAACAATCTTAGAAACTGCAACAAAATGTTGTTCTCCTCGTCATTGACCTCCCCCCACAGAAACAAAACATATATGACATGGAGCACGTACAGAGCACCGTCTGTCTTTTAATTTCATGACAAAAATATATTACAATCATACAACCCATTACAAAATACATTCTCTAAATACATACAATCAAAACAAATTTTTAACGAAAAAATTCACGTGCAGGGAGACGGTGACGTAGCCCTAAATGATAAACAAAGCATTCCTTTGCTATTTATAACCGTCTATTTGTAGCTGTCTTTAGCGGTCTCTGACCTCCACCTTCCATGACGCTTAAATAATCGATCAGGCACACCGTTATTGGCACATGCAGTTGCACCTCCCGAACGAAGACTATGCAAACCGTAATTTTTAATGTTAGGAACAAAAGGAGAAAATGCATCAATGAATAGTTCCCTTAGTCTAGAATAAGCCAACGGCTTATTATCACTACGAAAAATATAACAAGTTTTACATTTCGAGAGATTTCGAAAAATGAATACATCAGAAAATTAAAAAAAACCAGCACATCTGAAATATATTTCCACATTCTTAACTGGACAAATATCTGAATTAATTCTAGCTATCTTGACCCAAGCCCCGTCCCTATAAACATCAGTTTTTCTGAATGAAAATACTCATATGTGTAGAAAAGATAAGAACATCTGATCTTTGAATGTTTAGTAATTCACTTGAACGTAGAAACCCACAGAAGGCAATTAAACATGCACATATAGTTCTTAAATTGAACAAATTAGTCTCTCGTACATATTTATCAACTGACTCTTAGTAATAGGTTCTTTCTTATTGACTGGTTTACTTAATTTTCGCTTCCCAGACTCCAAGATGTTTTTAACTAAACTTGAATTAGTAGGGGAATCTAAATCTGCCAGATCATGGGCCCATTTTAAACTATAGAATGCACTAATAAGGGTACTAGGAGTGTTACTTTCCTGAATAATGCCTGACAAATACAAAGCTACTTGAAGGGATTTAGCCGGTAAAATATCACTGTCTGAGATACCATTTTTAGTTGCCCAGCGTTTCCCCCTCATAAAACCTCTACTGTATTTCAACACGGTTGAATTTGCTTTCGAACCTTCTAGCAAATCAGTAACTAAGTGAATTTTACCAAAAAAACATTCAGGAAGCTCCTGTATTTCAACTGAATGAGTCCTAAAAAATATATGTATAAAAATAACATTATTAATGCATGCAAGCCTTTTACGCAAAATAGAACATTAAAATTGAACAAACAATCATTTAAAATATAACCTGAAATGACAATCCCGTCTACAGTGACGTATCAGTACTAGCAATCCCATCTACAGTGACGTATCAGTAATAACAATCCCGTCTACGGTGACGAATCAGTAATAACAATCCCGTCTACGGTGACGAATCAGTAATAACAATCCCGTCTACGGTGACGAATCAGTAATAACAATCCCGTCTACGGTGACGAATCAGTAATAACAATCCCGTCTACGGTGACGAATCAGTAATAACAATCCCGTCTACGGTGACGAATCAGTAATAACAATCCCGTCTTCATTGACGCAACAGTATTAACAATCTGGTCTACAGTGACGTATCAGTAATAACAATCCGATCTACAGTGATGTATCAGTAATAACAATCCTGTCTACAGTGACGTATCAGTAATAACAATCCCATCTACAGTGACGAATCAGTAATAACAATCCCGTCTTCATTGACGTATCAGTAATGACAATCCCATCTACAGTGACGTATCGGTAATAACAATCCCATCTACAGTGACGTATCAGTAATAACAATCCCGTCTACGGTGACGAATCAGTAATAACAATCCCGTCTACGGTGACGAATCAGTAATAACAATCCCGTCTACAGTGACGAATCAGTAATAACAATCCCGTCTACGGTGACGAATCAGTAATAATAATCCCGTCTACAGTGACGTATCAGTAATAACAATCCCGTCTTCATTGACGCAACAGTATTAACAATCCGGTCTACAGTGGCGTATCAGTAATAACAATCCCGTCTACAGTGACGTATCCGTAATAACAATCCCGTCTACAGTGACGTATCCGTAATAATAATCCCGTCTTCATTGACGCAACAGTATTAACAATCCGGTCTACAGTGACGTATCAGTAATAACAATAACAATGTCTAAGGTGACGTGATTAGATTTTACAGATCATTTTTAAGGAACAACTTTGCCAAAATCAATTTTCATAGCTAACATCCGGAAAGGTAAATCCTTTGTGCCAAATGGTCCATTACCAATAGTACTAGACGTGTAAAAGTTTTTTGAAGTTGGTATATTCATAAAATCCTCAATGAAAGAAGGGACATGGGATCCACCAGGAAAGATCATTGGCCAAAAGGGGGCCGATTTCCAGCATGGGAGGACCAAGGTTCCAAATACTCGTAACTTTTCCATATTCTTTAACACCCTAACAATTAAATGAACTGGAGGAACAAACCATCCGTTTACACCATGCCAATCTACAGTGAAGGCATCTATACCCAACGAACCAAGGTACCAAAACCTAGAATAAAAAGTAGGTAATTTAAAATTAACATTTGAGGCGATTCATAGGGTCCCCAAAATTCACTCAATTGTAAAATTACTTCGCTTGATACACCCCATCATCATAATTAATAATTTTAGACAAATAATCGGCTCTTTCATTTTCTAATCTAGGAAGCCATTCAATTTCCAAAATAATTGAAAACTTCAAACATGTCAAATATATATCAAAAGCTATTTTCTGAAGTTCTGGTTTCATACTGCCTTTATATACGATCGAAACCACCCCTTGATTGTCTGTGAACCATTTTACACGACTACCTTCTAATTAGTTCAGTAACGAATTCAAAACCCTTTGGACTGCTACGAGCTCTCGCCACGTTGAACTTTTTGTGCATTCACAATCCAACCACATTCAATGAGCAACCCGATTTATGGTTGAACCCTCATATCCGGCGTAGGAGGTACTGATAAAATATGTTTCTATTATTCAAATTATAGATATTATCCTTCCAAAATTGTATTTATTGAAGACTTAAACTTACATAGGAATTCCAAGAAAAGGCTTTCAAAATATCCATGCTTAGAAATTTTGTCATTATTAAAGAAACATTTCCAATGACAACAGAAGTAGAGATAATTGGACCAGCTAAGCTTGCTAATTTCCTTACATGAATTTTCAATGCAAGAAATAGTATCTAAGATTTTAATAAGTCTCCTATCTGGAATAGAAATAGAACCTAAATTGGAATACATATTAACACCTAACCACACCAGGTTCTGGACCGGATACCACGTTGATTTCTCAACTTTAGGAACAAACCCACTTTCAATCAGATCTTGTTTAATCTGTGAACTAATTAATACTGCGTCATCTTTATCCACACAAGTTCCAAAACCATCATCCAGATACATCACAACAAATTTCCCTTCTCGCCGCCATTTGGCAACTATTGGCCTTGTTGAATGTTGAATTTATGCTCAGTGTCTAATTTAAGTTTTTTCACTTCGGAATGAACAGCCAAAGAATTACCGTGGGTAACCTCATTATGAAAAGCATTCAATTTCAATCTTCGTTTCAAAATCCAGTAAAATATTACTTCTATCTTCTTTTAATTCTTGTAGTTGATTTAAAACAAGTTTCAATGTACTACCAATACTTTCTGTTGACTCGTCAGTCATGGTAAATAACAAGACGTGTCAAGATAAAACAACAAATTCACGTGAAGAGAGACGGTGACGTAGCACTGAATGATAAACAAAGCATTCCTTTGCTATTCATAACGCCTAACATGCTGACTAGCAACAGGAGAAAACAATTCTAGTATAATTCATTTCATTCAACCTACAAGAATTGAATTGTCCTTGAAAGAAAGAGTCCCATATAATTAAAAGGCTATCAACCAGGAACTTGTGTGTGTGCAATTTAATAGGTTTCTTCCTAATGATAAGCTTAATAATCTTAAAAACTCTGATCTTTATAGTTTTTACAAGACAAAAATCTCTAAAACTGGCAAGGGACTTTTACATAAAATTAACTTTAACCAATCTCCCCTGATGATGACGTAACAGAAAGTAACAACTGAGATGGTTATTAAAAAAATCCACTACTTTGTTCTGTTCAAGCATCGGGTCAACTCCCAGCAAGAATAAGTAAACCCTTGAAAATAAATAGGGTTCTTCTTTGCAGTAGACATAATAATGGGTGTAAGTTTAAAGAAAACAACTTTGGTCTCTACCATATTTACAAGACAAAAATCCCTAAAACTTGCAAGAACTGTAACTCTGTTTCAGGTTGGAGTAGGCCCTTGAAATAAATAAGCTTCTTCTTTAATACAGATACACATCACATCATATGTGGGCAAATTAAAATACATATAATTGCAGGCAATGATTGTTTTGGTTAAAGATAATATCCTACAACTGACTGCTAGGAGTCTGAGGTTGTGTTTTTGGCCCTTTTTATACGCCCACATGAAATGGGGGACGTATATTGTCGTCACCCTGTCCTTCCATCCACAATTGCTGGTAAACGCAACACAAGGCACAATTCTTGATTGATTTCGACAAAACTTGGATTGGTTGATTGTAATCACCCAAGGATGAACTGGAAATCAGAAAAATCGAAAAATCTGTAGTATGAGTTATTGCCCTTGTTCTTAAAACGCTCGTGAACACTCTAGAAGGAGCAATTCATGACGGATTTTGATGAAACTTGGTATGAGTGTTCGTTATCACCGAAGGGTGAACCCTATTTAAAATCAAAAAGATCAAAAAATAATTAGTATGATTTATTGCCCTTGATCTTGAAAACGCGTTCAATTTTAGCTTGTAAACACTTAAGAAGGCGCAATTCTGGACGGATTTTGACGAAACTTGGTGTGCTTGTTTGTAATCACTCAAGTATAAACCCTATCTAAAATCAGAAAAATTGAAAAAAATATTTAGTATGAGTTATTGCCCTTGTTCTTAAAAACCCATTCAATTTTTTGCTCGTAAAAACTCCAGAAGTCACAAATCTTGACGGATTTAGATGAAACTTAGTATGTCATCAAGATAAACCCTATTGAAAATCAAAAAAATCGAAAAATATTATTGCCCCTGTTCTTAAAAACACTCTAGAAGGCCCAGTTCTTGACAGAGTTTGATAAAACTTGGTGATATTATTCTGTATTGCCTCAAAAAGTTCAAAAGAAGTATATGTCTGAAGGTTGAATATTTCATGCTGGTAATTGTTATTGTACTGCCAAATATATTTATTTAAAATCAAAGCTGCCAGTGGGTGTATATTACCTTGCATGGCAAGCTATCTCTATATACCCACATGAAATATGAAGCATAAATTGCCTTCAACCATGTCTATCAGTCCACAATTGCTAGTCAAAACTGTAGAAGGCACAATTCTTGACCGATTTTCATGAAACTGAAATTGTATATTATAGCCCCAAATGAACCCTATTGAAAATATGTTGTTCTGTGAAACGCATTCAATTTTTAACCTGTAAACACTTCAGAAGACAAAATTAGGATGAAACTTTACATCAACTAAGGATGAACTCATTGAAGTTCAAAATATTTTATATAACTTAATGCCATTGATCTTCAAAGTGGATTTTTACTCGTAAACACTCCAGAAGGCACAATTTTTTTTAACAAAACTTCACACTTAACACTAAATTTGTAAAATATTTGATATGAAATTATTGCCCTTGTTCTTAAAAATGCGTTCAGTGTTTAGCTTATAAACACTCTAGAAGGGACAATTCTTGACGGATATTGACAAAAATTGGGATGAGTGTTTGTGATCACCCAAGGATAAACCCTATTGAAAATCAGAAAAATCGAAATATATTTAGTATGAGTTATTGCCCTTGTTCTTGAAATTGCGTTCAATTTTTAGCTTGTAAACACTCTAGAAGGCACGATATGTGGTGGATTTTGAAGAATTTCTTGGTATGAGTGATTGTTATCACCCAAGGATAAACCCTATTGAAAATCCGAAAAATAAAAAAAATTTTTAGTGTAAGTTATTTCCCTTGTTCTTGAAAATGCGTTCAGTTTTTAGCTCATAAGCACTCTAGAAGGCACAATTCTTGACAAATTTTGACAAAAATTAGTGAAATTGTTGAATATTTTATGTAAGGTGCAGAAGAGTAGGACGAAAAACTCCATTCATTTACAAAACATTTCACAAAGTTTTTTACTGTTCATTCTCTGGATTCTCTCCCTTTGCCTGTATGAATTTTTGGGGTTTTGGGAAGGATATGGAAATACATTGGTTACGAGTCCAGGAGGAATTATTATGGCAAGAGAACTGTTACAATATGGCAATGGAATAATTTATTATGACTGAGGGAGTGGTTATATTTATATTCCTACCTATCAGTAGATGGCCTACGGCATTAGTGAGTGAATTGTAACTAAATTTTGATTTTGGAAAGTAAAGAACATGCGCAGGCTGCTGTGTATAGTGTTAGTGTACTATGTCCCCAATCTTAACATCTACAAGGCAAAAAGTGATCCAGAGTGACCAGTACACTAGCCCATTTTTAGTTGATCCAAATAATGTGGATACTCTATAGATCAACGAAAAAATGGACCAATTTAATTTCCGATTGTCCAGTTATTGACATTGTTGTGTCGGTTGACGGGTCTTAGTACAGAAGAGGCTATAAATCTTATTATGGTGTTGTGTTGCATTTATTTTTTACTTATCCACTGGATTAGTATTAGATTTTGATCTGTCAAAATACTGCCATACTTGTTCTCTTCATAAGAATATTCTGGAGGAGGACAGTGATGAATCTAAAGAATGGTTTGAAAGTCATAAAAATACGACATATATATATATGATATATATGTTAATTATGTAAGATCCTACTGAGATGTTATTTACAAGGTCATTAGACAAACAAAAATTGTGATACACAACAATATTAAGTGAAGGTGACGCTAAAACACATACACATTTATTAAATATAAACCGTAATTTTAAAAGTTTAGGTACAGCTTTGAGAAATCTTGTAAAAAACTGTTAAAACTTCTGGTATAGTTCTGGGTGGTTGTAGACATGGCAAATTAACCGAATATGCAACACTCTTTCACTCATTTTCCACGGATGATGATCCTCGACACCATTACTGTCCGACTGGTGCGAACTCCTGGTGTTTTCATACATGCTCTTGCTTGTGGTGTAGTACCAGGACCCCATGACACTTTCAATGGAATACCACCCAGTAGAGAAATAGGCAATAATTTAATGCCAGTATATAAACATTTGACAGAACCCTCTACTCAGTCGAATGTTGAACAAAGCCACACAAAATACAAAATGAGACTATTCACTCCGTTTTTTGGTGCACCTTTGCAGTCCTTTTAATAAAGAATCCTCAGCCAGTGATAGTGATACACTATTATTGATGAGTGTTTTCCCTGGTACTTCTTTTCATAAAATTTCAAAACAAAAAGACAAAAGGAGGTACTTACAAAGTCAGTGTTTCTCTGCTCAAAAACAAAAATGTCAAAGACAATTACAGAAAGTTGCTAGAATTGCTGCTGAACAAAAAATGAGAAGCCTCGAAGGTGTTACTTATGGTGCTGGGGAGTTTTAGAGACATTGTTTCCATTGTACATATGTTTTGTGTATTTAGGCACGACTGAAGATTCAAAATGTTAATAGAATGAAACCGCTGCTCCAGCACGTGGACACTGAAAAAAAAATGAATTGATGTCGTAAAATAGTTCTATTAGGATGCCAAATGCACATAGTTCCTAATCCTTAACCCTGCAGTTTTCTTGTACAACCTTCTAATCCATATGGACTCCTTCAGCAGCGGATGTTTACTTCATTTCCTTTTTTGGACTTGATCAGAGCATATATAAATACCCATATTTGGTAGTTCGAAATGATCACATGGGATGGATTGGTCAATAGAAACAAAGTAAACAAAGTATTGTTATGAGACATGTTTGTTTTTTGTGGACAATTTGAAACAAGTTATTCGCTCCAGTCTAGAATCAACTGCAAATACCATATTAGATTAGTCTACCTGCTCATTACGTTTATTGCCTAATATTTGAAACAGTCCTTAGCTGTGGAAATGGCTGCTTACTGCCTTTTGAGGCATAATTAGACCTATATGTATCAAAAAAAGAAAAGTAGATAGGTTCTGTAGGCCTATTATTAGGCTATACTATGCATACAGGATAATCGAACATCAGGGTCAACACTATGATAATTATCAATACTATCAATTTCTTGTCCCTCAATATTCTCGCAATTTGAACAATGACACAAATCAGTACACTTTAATTTTGCCTTCAAACAAAAACACCTTCCAGATTTGCAGCCTGTTTTACACACACAATGCAAAAATTCCAAAATTGATTTAGGGGCTGGGTTTTTTGTCATCCATACTATTGATAAATCATTGACTTTCATTTCCCATCTGTGTCCAACTGATCCAAACAACACTTATAAATGGCAGCTTGGTAATTGGCTCTCTTAAAATGATGTGTAAGGGCACCAAGCGGTGGTAAACATTGTTCTGATGATGTTGAAGAGCACAAAAGTTTGATATCTGAGATGGCCTCAATCTCTATCCTAGTTATGAGATTTTTGCCCGAAAAACTTGCTTTTGGGGCTGCAACTGCCTGTTTTTGTGTGCCTCCAGCAGCCCTCCTGCTTCACTCAGCATTTTTTATGCTTATTAAAGGATATCTGACACAATCTGGAATGTCAGACAAGGATTGAATCAATGCCATTGCATCTATTAGTAAACAAGTCTTCTGATCTGTTAACAAGCCTCTATCAACTAAACCATTGTTGATAAAGCCTTCTAAAAGTTTCATCGAGATTTTTCCTGTCATTGCAAGCCATTCCAGCCATTAATTCACATTGCCTTGTGATGGTTGCATTGTGAGGCTGAGCTAGTATCCATCTTTGAACTCCACTTTGGTTTAGTGTGATGCTAGTAATACCACCTTTTGTCTTCGAGTCTTGATTACACGTTTGCTCAATAACTTGAATGTTTTCAAGTGTCAAATTGAAGTCGATATCCATAAAACAATTGTTACTTAATGTGCTGTGATAATTCTAAAAGTCTAACAAGGATTACATGCACAAAGTGTTTACAATGTAGTTGTTTTTCCAAAAATGTTCATATCCATTTACAAAATTGATTTTTTCAGGAATATAATTCAAACTTATTTGAATTCTCAACATTTTATGTATACTTCACTTTGATAATTGTTCAGATGGTTTTATTTTGTTTTGCTGACAAGAGAAAGGAACAAGAAGATATTAACAAGGTCAGTAAAAATAATTACGTGACGAGTACATTACAGTAAATTAGACAATAATTAGAGAACTAGAACTGTTCTAATAACAGTACTGATGCAGGGCGTGTTACGACATTCAGGTACATACGAAGATAGTCTATTGCAATTACATTAATGTAAATACTTTTCTAAATGCAAATATGCGAAAGTGCCTGGAGTTTAAAGTATATTTCTAGGAATAAAAGAATCTTTTATATTAATAAAGACCAAGTTTGATGAAATTCGGATAAGAAATAAGAAAGTTGGTAATGCGCATGCACACTACAAAAATTCAATATTTCCATCAAATTTAGAATTTGATAATATTCGGACAAGAAATAAGAAAGTTGGTAAATTAAGTGTGGGTATCCCTTTCAGATGCAGTATAACACGGTTCAATCCTAGAGCTTATTAATTATATACCATACCTGGACATAAAACATATTTAAGAAATATAAAAGGGAGGGTGTCTTTAAAACAACTAATATTTTGATTTCTCTTGGGGTTGACAGCCAGGTTAATTTAATTAGTCTATTTATCTAATAATAACCCCATGTTAAGTGAATGGGATTATGAATTCGCATGTAAGGCATGCATGTTTTATATCATTGGAAAGCTCAGAATCTCAACATTAGAAAATCGTAAGAATTGTTGCTATATCACTATTAGGCTTCGAGATACAGTAATGCAAAGGTTCGAAATGGTCCATTTTTAAACCCCTGTAAAATCGGAAATAATGGTTTGATTGCAGAGGTGAATGGGTCATCAGATAGACAAGGTCGCAAATTATCATCAAATTAAATGGTCATCAAAGGTCAAGGCCTTCAAACTTCCTAGGAATTGTAGACAAACATTCAACGTTTGACACAAAAGTTTTGCAAATCAGATGAAAAATGGCTTCTGAATAGCAAAATGCAAAATGAGGCAAACCAAAATGGCAGCCTACATGTTAAGTAAGGTACGAATTTTTTTAGTTAAAAAAGTTTGTATTAAGGATGGTAATATAATGCATATGTTATTTTTGACATAACTCAATTCCACTGGAAGTGAAGTACTAACATTGTATTTTATTCAAATACATAATATATATGGAGGAAAAATACAATAGTAAAATAAAATTACAGTCATGTCAAGTGGCAGATCCAAGAGTTCAATGATTTCAACAACTGAATGGAGAGGTACTACCTCTTGGTCTGGCTTTTTCCTTACCCTTTTGGTTTGGTTGTTTTTTTCATTGACTTCCCCCTCTGCCTTTTCTTTTACGCATGGAACCTAGAAACAGCTTTGAGTACAATTGATTTTGCTGCTGAGAATTGCAGTTTGGGCCATTTATTGAATTTTGGAGGAGTGCATTGAGCATATCTGTGTTCAGAGAACCTCAGAGTCATGACTTAATGGGTTTAATGGCATTGGCTCCTCTTTCTGGTCAAGCATTAGATATTAGAGTTGAGAGAGCCACCTCTGCTGAATAGGGCAAGATCTCATACTGTAAGGAGTGTTTCTGCTTTAAAAGGAGTGTCAGACACCAAAGGAAAGAAGCTAGTATTGTGGCCACTTCCATTTGGTATTCAAACATCCTATATTCATCGAGCTGTTGATATTTCATAGGATTATCTGGAATAAGTGGCTTCCTAAAACCTCAATTTTTGCTCTCCCCATATCCCTGTAAAAGTGGAGATCCTTTCAGAAACATGAGTCAGATCAAAAATTTGGAAGGCATTGAGAATGGGAAAAACATGTTCAAACCTCTGTCCAAGATTCTTGTTCAGAGCTTCAACATTTCTGAGAAGCTGTTTTGCCTCTTGCTCTTCATGTGCTGAAACTGAAATTCCCGTCATTTGATTCAGCAACTTGGGTATGTTGATCTCTTCTGCTTCATCTTTTGTAATTTCTCCCAGTCTCTCATCATCAGCTTCGGCTACCTCTTGGATCAATACTAGCTTAAGTCTTCCATCATTGGGATCGAAATCTTTTATCATTGCTTTACTGGGTTCTTGTGAAACTGCATAGTATAGACTGGCTGCAGAGCAGAATAGTGTATATTTCCAGTCTGCATTGTCTTGCTGAGTGCAGGCAGTAGTGTGTGGAAGTATGTGACGCAGTATGTAGATGTAACATAAGAATTTGGCTCTTCTGAATTCTGTGAGCATTCCTTTTGCATTGGGCTCTTTGTCAGAGAGTGCACTCAAGGTCAACATCACTGCACAGTAATCTTTATGGAAAGCATTGACAGCATTATCAAAAGAGAGCCAGCGTGTGGTACATGCCTTTTTAAGACGCCTATGAACTACATTTCGACTGCTTTCATTCAATGTTATGTTTTACCTGTATGTTAAGATAAACAGCCAATCTTTTTGGAGATTTCTCAAACAGGCACCAGAAGGATGTTAGCCGATCGTGCACTTGCGAAATATAACTTATGTCATTTTGAGTGTCAACTCATGCAGTGGCAAACACAATGGACACTTTAGAGCTCAATTTACTTTCCGCTTTAACCTTGCAGCAACACCATTTGTTGAGCCAGTCATTACAGCCTGACCTTAACAGAGATGAAGGTGTTCGTTTATCGCATGCATATGATAAACTTATCAACTTGTAATTATTCATATTCATAAATGTATTTAATTCAATAAAAATTTTTCAACTATAACCATAGTCAGTTATTTAAAACAATGTAATTTCTATTAATAAAAGACTCCAATACAAGCAATAGTTGTTTATTTAATCTTCAATTAATCTTTTGTAATTCATTTACTTTATTTCAATTATTTTACTTAATCAGCCTGTATGTTATTTTAAGAATTATATACCCATTTTTGTACCTGTTAAAATTTAATGTAATGTATCAATAAACCATTTATCACTTGTGTATTCTCAATAATAAGCATTAATGTATATATAGTTTGCCCATCACTTCTTCTCATTATGTGCCTGAGGACGACGGGGGAAACACCTCGAAACGTTGCATAAAACTTTAACCAGTGATTATTGTTCCATAAAGCTGTGTCTATATATTGTATGTCTTGTCGGCAAGGTCTATTAGGAAATTGATATGCTCTTGCAGAAGTACATCCAACCTGAGCTAAGGGCACAAAAGTTATAAATCAAGAGTCTCTAAAAAAAAAGAAACAAAATTTTGCCTATTATTGTCCTGCACCTTATGTCTCCAGAAGAGACCAGCTGTCAGTTCCACAGTTTCATACGCTGAAGATACGAAGGATCAAATTTTTTACGGTTAGCTATGAAACTATAAATTTAACCTTAAATGAATTCAAATATCTATTATACATATTTAAATATTTGCTTAAGCAGCAGACAGAAATCAATTTTAGAATGAAAATCATTTATCAACAAAAACAACTAGTAGCATTATCCTCTGACAGTGAGTTGTTATTCCCCTAACAGCTAATTGGGTAATGGTGATCCTCTATAGCAAGTTGGTAAGCGTTATCCTCTATAGCGTGTTGGTAAGGCGTGATCCTCTATGGCGAGTTGGAAAGCGTTATCCTCTATGGCGTGTTCGAAAACATTATCGTCTATGGCGCGTTCGAAAGCGTTATCCTCTAACAGCGAGTTGGAAAGCATTATCCTCTACAGTGAGTTGGAAAGCGTTATCCTCTATGACGAGTTGGGAAGCGTTATCCTCTAGGGCGCGTTCGAAAGCGTTATCGTCCATGGCGCGTTGGAAAGCGTTATCCTCTAACAGCGAGTTGGAAAGCATTATCCTCTACAGCGAGTTGGAAAGCATTATCCTCTACAGCGAGTTGGAAAGCGTTATCCTCTATGACGAGTTGGAAAGCGTTATCCTCTATAGCGAGTTAGAAAGCATTATCCTCTACAGCGAGTTGGAAAGCGTTATCCTCTATGACGAGTTAAAAAGCGTTATCCTCTATGACGGGTTGGGAAGCGTCATCCTCTATAGCGAGTTTCAAAGCGTTATCCTCTATGGCGCGTTGGAAAGCGTTATCCTCTATGGAGAGTTGGAAAGCGCTATCCTCTACAGCAAGTTGGAAAGCGTTATCCTCTATAGCGAGTTAGAAAACGTTATCCTCTACAGCGAGTTGGAAAGCGTTATCCTCTACAGCGAGTTGGAAAGCATTATCTTCTATAGCGAGTTAGAAAGCGTTATCCTCTGTGGTGAGTTAAAAAGCGATATCTTTTATGACGAGTTAGAAAGGGTTATCCTCTACAGTGAGTTTGAAAGCGTTATCCTCTATGACGAGTTGGGAAGCGATATCCTCTATGGCGAGTTGGAAAGTGTTATCCTCTATAGTGAGTTAGAAAGCGTTATTCTCTACAGCGAGTTAGAAAGCGTTATCCTCTACAGCGAGTTGGAAAGCGTTATCCTCTTTGACGAGTTGGGAAGTGTTATCCTCTATAGCGGATTCGAAAGCGTTATCCTCTATGGCGAGTTGGAAAGCGTTATCCTCTACAGCGATTTGGAAAGCGTTATCCTCTATGGCAAGTTTGGAAGCGTTATCTTTTATGGGGAGATACATAGCATTATCCTCTCTTATTATTCTTCAAAATGTAAAAGATTTTCTCCTCACTATCAGTTGCTGACTTAGCAAACACTGTACCTGGATGCTGACAATCAAATCTGAAATGCTGATATGATTTTATTCCAGGAAGTGGTTGGCAATCTTCTGCAAAAAAATTTTGCCAATCATAAACTGGTACAATTGTTGTTCCATCTTCTGTACCCACTACTTGAGCAACGTTAACAGATGAACTTAGGTTGACTCCCTCCTGTAAGACACTTAGCGCAGGAACGGAATGTCTACGAAAAGACTTCTTCATCAATCCAAAATACCAGTCAGGTGCAAATTTGGTGTGACCTGCTATAAGAAAATTCAATGAAATTGAATGATGAAGTCTTTTCGCAACACGCCATGCACAATACCAAATCATACATCGATTTTTATTTTGACTAGAACAATTGTTGCAATGTAAATTAGCTACGGTTTCTCCAATACCATAATGATCAAAATAGAAATCCATATATGATATGACTGCATTTGATCCTTTGCTAATTAGATGCCCTTCATCAACCAAAAAATTCACCTGTTTCGGTATGCCCTCGCAGCAAACACCAAATATTTCAACTTTTCTTGGCACTAAGAAGTAAAGAGGTCCTGGTTGCATAGGGTTACTGGGTAAATGGACTTGTTGGGCATAGTCAAAACTGTAGTGCATAGATAAATTGCGACTGCAAGGTAAATTTGTAGTTAATTGCATGATTCCATGTTGTTTACAGGTGCTTTTGGCATCAGATACCATGGCATTATACAAAGATCTTTCTTGCTGAACTATGTAAAGATGTTGTTGTTCTTGAAGTCGTACTCTTTCACTTTTGTTTTCATCTGTCAGATTTGATCTGCGAAAATAAGTAAACTATTTTTCTTACGGGTCCAACACAAATCGGTTATTGGCTTAGCGACAACTATAAATGAGCAAAGTTGTTTCCAAAAATTAAAAAAAACTGCTAGACCCCATTACTCTTTAACCTAAAAAAAAAAAAAAAGATTTCAATTTTGAAAATCAAGTCTATTCTAGCACAAACGTTATTTGAAATTAAGCCTCAAATTTGAATATGCACACTTATCCTCGGGTTGGGCTATATTTGAGTAATTTTTTCTCAAAAAGAACTTCCGCTTTAAGTTGTAAATGAAGGTTGTTACATTTTGAAACTTATAATGTAAATAACGTTAAATAGAGAAATACTCACCTGATTTTTCAAGAATTGTCTTATACTGATCATAAACTATAACTTTTGTGTGCAATGATGGTAATAATTTGATGTCGTCTCTCTTATAACCGGGTATCCGTCCTGGCAAAACTAATGCATGGTCTGTAGCATTATTAGTCAAAAACTTCACAACATCACAAGCATCTTGATAAACGAATGATTGCGTGTTTGATTGCCTTCCCCCAGATTTCTTCTCCATCGGTGTTTAGCCATTCTCCTTATCGTGCTTTAATAGATGAGTTAATCTATCTTGACTTAACCTAAAATTAATAAAAACTATGGTTGAGAATTGATCAAATTGAATGAATTTATTAGGGTTCATTTTTTTTATACTTGATAAACCAAAGTCCATAAATAGTTGGCAAATTCTTACTGCCTCAGAATCTTTGATGTAGAGTACCAATTGCACACGACATGGACTTTATTTTCATTTTGTAATCTTATATTCAGGGCTTGTCACTCTACGTCATCAGCTCAGCTGACAATATCCCTTAATAACTGAAAGATGAACATGCAAATATACAAGAAATATAAGGGTCTCCAATCAGATATTGTGACCTTGTGGTTAGTGGCAAAATAACCTTATCACTGTGCCAATTAATAACACAACAATAAAATTATGAAATTGTATTTGATCGGCTTTTTGTATTTTAACATGCCAATATATTAGGTATGTATATGTACTTACATGTGTAGAAAGTTAAAAGTGTCCCGACAAGTCTGATGACCCTCTAGCCAATACAGTGTGCGCTGGTGTTGTCGAACCGTCTGATTTTTTCTCTTTTTGGCTTCTGTATTTTCTGACATATTTATTGAACAGGATATTTTCCCCAGAAGCACCAACATTTGATCTCCATTACAACTATGAATTTTGATAACAAATAAAATGTATTAATGAGAAATGATTTTAAACTCAGAAAAAAACAAAACAGGGTTATTGCCACTAGCCAGCACATGTAGTCACAATTAAAATATGAAAATGAAATCTTATTCTGGTGATAAAATTTTGCTTATTAAAGGATAAGAATTGTAGATAAATACATAGCTAATACTCACTTGGTGTCATTTCTCTAAAAAGCATACGCCGTTTAATCATTTCCTCAGGTAAAAAATGTCTATAGCATGGTTCATTATTTAAGTACTTGCACGTACAGCTGTAATATTATAATTTTAATACTGTCAGATTTTACATTTTCTCTACAAGAAATTTATCATTAAAGTAACATATTTTGTGCATAGAATAATTAATTAATTACAATTGTGTAAATTTAGTAAATAATTTATTGATTTAGACTAGGACACTAGACCCACAGGTATTCAATAGTGTGACTGATTTGATTTGCTATTTCTACTTCCATGTTGTCTATTGTTGATCTGTCAGACGTAAGACGGAAATAACGCATTGCGCATGTCTTTGATAGATTCAACCAATCAGACATCGAAGGCGGAGTACAATGGGTTTTATTCTTGCAATTTGATTAGTTGCATCTGTCGTGACATCAAATAAAATGCTATTTTTAGATAGAGGGATTTCCCAGCATCTTTACAATGGCCGACATGATAGAAATTGACGTACGTGAAACTAGACAAAACGGTCTAATTAGTTGGGATAAGATGCCATATTTGACGTAATTAACTAATTAAACTTTGACCGCTGGTCGAAAAATCTGATTTATACACATTTAGGACAAGCTTTGATGAAAGATATGACATTTTATAGATAGTTCATTGATTTTACTTCAAGCTCATGACAAAATGCCATTTTCGATAATTTGACCCTCATTTTGCCGTTGGCCAAATATAGACTTTGCGACTTTCGACTGGTTTTGTCCTGGAGGGTCACATATTGTCGTCTGTCCGTCCATCCACAATTGGCTTGTGACAACAGTTTTTATCTGATTTGAATGCAATTTAGTTTGATCATTTATATTCATGAGATCTTGGACAAGTTCGAATTCAGATTTCATCCAATTTAAATGAAATTTGGTGTGAATATTTATAATGTTGAGATCTTGGACAAGTTCGAATTTGACGATCTTTCGATGAACAGTTTTTGAGTTAATGCCCTTGACTTATGAAAAACGCATCGGAATTTGTTTGTGAACCTAATAGAGTGTATAGTTTAAATCCCATTTAAATGAAATTCGATATGATCATTTATAATGAGATCTTAGACATATTGAATTTGACAATTTTTTAGATCAACGGAACTTGAGTTATGCCCTTGACTTAGTAAAAACGCATCAAAATTTGTTGGTGATAGAGGTGACAGTTTATGTCAGAATTTTATTAAATAATGTGTGTTTGTTTAAGTCAACAATATCTTGCACAAATTAGATTTTTGGTATGATTTGACACAGATTTGTGACTGCCCTTAAAATACTGAAAATGTATCAGGAAAGTGGGCGTATCTTTCTAGGCAACCACCTGATCTACAATGCTTCTAATGAAGTGTTCAAAATGATAAAACAGTTCATTGAATGAAAATGTCTTTATTAGATCAAACTTTATATATAAGCATTTACAAGTGGACAATTGGTGGAAATTTTAATTATTTGTTCCTGTGCATTATATTTAGAGATACTTCAGTCCAATATGAAAACCTGAAAAATAAACAACAACAAAATTAAGTCAATGATGTAAATAATTTACAATCAGTAATCCAAAATATAAGATTTAAAGTTAAACATTGCACACGTTATAGACACTGCAGGGTAGGCATAAGTGTTTTAAAGGGGGTAATGTCATGAGTTATCCCCCTTAGATCACAAAGCTCTTCCAACTAACCACAAGAAAATTAAATTGTTTCTTTAGGACCCATCGGTCTGTCGCCACCATGTAAACATATTTTTATAGGAACTGTTATCAAAGACCTCTTGATTGCATTCCAAAATATTGAAGCGATGCTTTATTGTATAATAAATTTTGGATTTAGATGAGTGAGATGACTAAAAAAGAGAAGATGTGATGTCCGTTTGAGACTTGCTCGCTGGTCTGAAAGGGTTGATATTGAAGATGGGAGTATGATACTTTGTGGCACAGTTTTAAACGTAAAATCAAACTGTTACGCACTGCTTCAGAACCACGCGAAGCCTGTGGATCTAGTTTTTTTTTTTTTATGCTGTTTTATAAAAAAATCCTTTTTTTAATCTTGTATACAATGAACAAAACTAAGTTCTTGTTGATATGAATGAATCTTAAGAAAGAAAAAGGCTGTGAATTAAGCTCTTTTAGCACGAAAATGTCACTCTCATAATGTTTCAATTGCTGAAAGCTCTCCTCTAGGACGACTTGGCTGCCATTACAATTTTGGGCGTATCGCAATGGCCATCGCAATCTTTTAGTTTTGATCTTAACCCTTCATAAATACACCATGCTATTACAGAATCTTGTCTGTATTATTTCATGTGGCGTATATTGTCCTCGACCCTGTCGGTCAACTTTTCTTGTGGGCACATTAAAGATTACAGTTTTCATTTGATTTTAATGGAACAAGATTGACAAGATGGCACTTAATTCAAATTTGACGATTTTTCGATGAATGGTTTTTGAATTAGTAAAATCAAAATTTTTTTGTTGTCGCAATAGAAGCTAAAATTTTCAATGGATTCTGAGAGCATGATTGATAAGATGGCGGTCAAGTTCGAATTTGAAGATTTTTCGATGAATGGATTTTGGTTATTACCCTTGAAATAGTAAAATCACGTCAAAATTTTTTTGTGGGCACAATAGAAGCTACAATTTTCAATGGATTTTGATGAAATTTGGTGTGAGCATTGGGACTGACAAGATGGCGGTCAGGTTCGAATTTGATGATGAATTCTTTTTGAGTTATTGCCCTTGACTTCGTAGAAACAAACCAAATTAGGATTGTAAACATGATAGCAGGGCTAGAGTTTTTATCAGATCTTAATAAAGTTTGGTTTGCATATTGAAATGATCTTAGTCAAGTTTTAATTTGGCTCATATTTGATGAATGGTTTTTGAGTTATTTCCCTTGATATAGTAAAATGTGTCTAATTTGGCATGTAAACAAGAATTGGGGCTAGAGATTTTATCTAATAGTAATGAATCTTGGTATATATGTATATATTGATAAGATCACAGTCATGTATAAATTTGGCTCATTTTGAAAGAAAAGATTTATTGCCCTTGACTCAGTAAAAATGTACCAAATTTGACACACGAGGGGGGCTACAGTGCTTATCGGATCTTGATGAAACTTGGTATGAGGTCTCAGTAAAGTTAAATTTGTCTATGTAGTTGAGACCTTGTTAGTGTGAATTTGATGATACCTAATTAATATATATTATTATTATATTTGAAAATTTCAGAGTGTGATAATTCAATGCTTCGGGGTTATTACTATTGATCTAAACAGATTTGTGAAAAAACTCAGCATAACTGACCCTAAATTGATGAGATATTCAGGGTTTTTCATCTACAAAAGCGTAATTGTGGGACTTTGCTATCAGTTTGTTATTGAAATGTCAATTTTTTTTTTTTTTTTTTTTTTTTTTTTCGAAATTTACACACCTTCCTGAGCTTAGACTACAATAGTTGCAGCAACCATTCAACATTCACGAACCTTAAATATAGGCGACGATGTGCATAAATATATTTTGGATCTTTTTTGCAAAACCGGAAGTGCCACAGTTCAATATGTGCAAGAATAGTTAATCGGCTCTAGAAGTCGTATTTGTCAGTCGATTTTCTTTGGGTTTGCATTTTTGGAATCTACTGGCAAAATCTGAAAGAATAGCAATTTCAAAATTCGAAAATTTGTCGCAGACATTTTTTTTGCCAAATTTTGCATTTTTTTCATTTTTTTTGCTTTTTGTCTGATTAATCTGAAAAAAATTGAGCAAAGACAGTTTAAGAAAGTAAACAAAATGGTACAGTAAAAATTTCAATTTCACTTCCGGTTTAAACAGGAAATCGATGTTCACTTCCGGTTGAATATCTTCCGGTGTAATTTGTATAGGACAAAAAAATTTATGCTGATAGATAGACAAAGTTATGACCAAAAAACGAAGAAAAAAAAATCCGGAACAGACGTAGATTTTGATTTCCCTGAAACTCTTTGATTTTTATTCAGCCAATTTGGCTGAACCGAATTTCAAAATTTTGGTGTCAAATGAAAGAACATAAAAATTAAGAGAGATCGCAGGAAGCCGATTTTTGAATTTCGATTTTGCTTTTTTGCAATTTGCGATTGAATTTTTTCAATATTTGATGGCGTATATCTCGTGACCTTGACCTTTGATGACCTTGACCTTTATAGGGTCAAAGGTCATTGACCTTGGCTATCATTTGATACTTTGACCTCCGACATGTACTTCCGGTTTTATAGCTATCCGTAAAAAGCCAAATTCGCAACTTTGGACTGCTCTAGCACGTGACCTAATTAACCTAGAGGGTTAATTTTTTCGGTTTTCTAATGTGCTTCTCATGCACTTTACATAGATATAGAACAATTGCTTTTTTAAAGCAAAATTGAAATTCGTGATTTTTTCAAATTTGAGTTTAGTTTTACCATATTTGTGTCTTTTGATCTTCGTGTATGTATATCTTATGACCTATTCTATGTAGAACCTTGATATTTGGAATACAACTAGACACTTTGAATATGATTTCACCTATGACAAAAAAATTGGGGTGGGCGTGGCACATCCGGGTTGAATTACTAATTGTTTACATTTTGCGCCTGGGGCATAACTCGCATAGGATGCGTTTGTTCAAAAAGAGACTTTGCACACAATTACCTCATCCTTTTGGCCAGTTTGTATTAACAGCTCAGTTGTTTCAGCTTTATAGTTTCAAAAAAGGAACGGGTTTTAACATTTGGATATTTTCATTTTTCGATTTTGACCTTTTTTGACTTTTGTTGACCTATATCTTTTGACCTCTATTATGTAGGAACTTGACATTTGGAACATAACGTAACATTTTGAATATTGATTAACTTATTCAAAAACAATTGAGTTGGGCGTGGCACTTCCGGGTTAAATTACTCTTTATTGATATTTTTGGCCAGGGGCATAACTCGCAAAGTATACATTTGTTCAAAATGGAACTTTTTACACAATTACCTTATATTTTGAGCCACTTTGTCTTAGAATTTTGGTTGTTTCCGCTTCATAGTTCAAAAAAAGGAACAGGTTTTGGAAATATTCAAAATTTTCAATTTTTGACCTTGACCTTTGATGACCTTGACCATTATTGGGTCAAAGGTCATTGACGTTGTCTATTAGTTTATGCTTTCATATTTGACCTCTGACGTCTACTTTCGCTTTTATAGCTGTCCAAAAACATTCAAATTCGCAACTTTGGACTGCTCTAGCACGTGACCTAATTAACCTAGAGAGTAAATTTTTTCGGTTTCCTAATGTGCTTTTCGTGTACTTTACATAGATATATAACAATCGTTTTTTAAAGCAAAATTGAAATTCGTGATTTTTTCAAATTTGAGTTTTTTTTTTTTTTACAATATTTGCGACTTTTTGAGCTTGGTATATGTATATATTATGATCTATTTGATGTAAAACCTTGATATTTGGAAAATAACTAGACACTTTGAATATGAATTCACCTATGACAAAAAAACTTATGTGGGCGTGGCACATCCGGGTTAAATTACTAATTGTTTACATTTTGGGGCTGGGGCATAACTCGCATAGGATGCGTTTGTTCAAAAAGAGACTTTGCACACAATTACCTCATCCTTTTGGCCAGTATGTATTAACAGCTCAGTTGTTTCAGCTTTATAGTTTCAAAAAAGGAACGGGTTTTAACATTTGGATATTTTCATTTTTCGATTTTGACCTTTTTTGACTTTTGTTGACCTATATCTTTTGACCTCTATTATGTAGGAACTTGACATTTGGAACATAACGTAACATTTTGAATATTGATTAACTTATTCAAAAACAATTGAGTTGGGCGTGGCACTTCCGGGTTAAATTACTCTTTATTGATATTTTTGGCCAGGGGCATAACTCGCAAAGTATACATTTATTCAAAATGGAACTTTTTACACAATTACCTTATATTTTGAGCCACTTTGTCTTAGAATTTTGGTTGTTTCCGCTTCATAGTTCAAAAAAAGGGGAACAGGTTTTGGAAATTCAAAATTTTTAATTTTTGAACTTGACCTTTGTTGACCTTGACCTTTGTAGGATCAAACGTCATTGGCATTGGCTATCTATTTATACTTTTATATTTGCTGTCCTAAGTCAACTTCTGGTTTTATAGTCGTTATCAATTTGAAATTTTAATGGCGTATATCTCTTGATCTTGACCTATTTAGGCCTTCTCCTTTACAAGATCAAAGGTCATTGACCTTGGCTATCTGCTGATACTTTCATTTGTGAGGTCTGACGTCTACTTCCGGTATTAGAATCTTCTAAAAAATAAAAAATTATCAACTTTAGACTTGTTCTTGCGCTTGACCTAATTATCGTCGATGGATGATTTTTTCGGGGTCTTTAGCAAATTGCTACATTTGCAAAGTCCCACTCTGTGCCACGAGTGGCTCTAGTGAATATATTTAAAATGAGAAATTTCATATTATTATGAAGATCTTTAATATATTTTGGGTCAATAAAGATTTAATTATCATTGACAGATGCCAGTGGGTGTATGTTACTTAGCCTGGCCAGCAATCTTGACTGATGTTAGAATGACATTGAAGTCTGGACTAAATCTGCTACTTGTAACAAGGCTTCTGTAGTATGGTTAGAGTCAGTCACAGAATCAGTCAAAGGGAATTTTAAAAATGGGCATGGTTTATCACATGTATATGATATGTATTAGTTTAAATAAATATTTTTTTCAGAGACCTTCACCAGAAGAAAGAGCATCATTTCTAAGTAAATTAGTCTTTCATTGGATAAACCCGTAAGTTTCTATTTTTGTCTGTAATTGAAACTTTGTAAACTGTTAAGTTGTATTTGTATTTGAACATGAAATGTTAGACCAGATGCCGGCAAACCTCGGTATATTATTGATATATAGATGACATTTTCCTCATCTGGACCTATGGAATCAACAAACTCTCAGATTTCATCCAGCGCATGAACAATTTCCATAAAACTATAAAAGTCACTGCTGAATATTCCATTGAAAAAGAATCCTTCCTAGATACTGGGGTCAAATGTGACCGTAATACTAGAAAACTCTCTTTTGATTTGTTCCTACAGACATGCACTCTTATCTCTCTTACACTTGTCACCCACCTCATATCAAAATCAAGGGACCCTACAGTCAATTTCTTCAACTGAAACGAATCTGCTCAAACCCAGCAAATTACAAACTACATGCTGACAACCTGGTACGTTATTATCTCCAACGGGGCTATCACAGAAATATCATAGAATCCAACTGATCCAAGGTGACACAGAAGAAAGGACTTACATTTTCAATGGACACCATCCTCACCACAGAAGAAGCTGAAAAACCAACCCCTGGACCTCTCTTCCTGCCACAAATGCTGTGGAAATGTGTCCCATCAATAGACCTATTCAGCTCAACAGATACAGAAGCCAGCTGCAGTTCACACCACCCAACCACCATGGATGCGCCTTTCTCGCTCTTCCAAGATGGGATTGGATTGACTCAAACACACCGAACGCTTCTCTATCAAAAGCTGAATACCGCCTCTACCAACAGGAGTGACATCTGGGTGAACCGAGACCAGGCGTTAGATGCCAGATTACTAATTCCAGTAGAAGAAATGGATCCTGTCTCACAACTATCGAGTGAAGACTTCTTCAACTCCAGCTTAATCAACAGCTTTAGTTGCATGTAATAAACTTCCTCTATACCTCCTTCAGTCTTTTTATTCCTACTCTTATTCCTCCTATTTTCTCCTAACCCAGGCAGCATGTTTAAGTCTTAATTTCCTCACCCTGGTCTAAAACTATCTCAGTATCGATCAACCCAGGTAAAAATCAACCTCAACAACTCACAACCCGGTAATATTGCACCAGTGTCCCTAAAAAGTACGAACGAGTCAATCTTTATCTCTTTTGTTTTAACCCTGCCAACAACCTAGTTATTGATAATTTCATATCCCCAACGAGCAGTTGTGATTCCCTTTTTAACTCTATAACCGACTAAAACCAGCCAAACCAGGATGTTTTCAGGTAGGTTCACCGCTTTGACATTTTCT